GTTTTTATACATGAAAGTGTCGTATTTGTAGATTGAACAACGGGGTAGTCACTGTCTAAAAAAATATTGCAATATCCTGTCTAAACAATTTTAAGTGCACTAATGGAAATAGTTAGTTCCAAAAGTATTTTAAATCTTCCTTTAAGCCTTATTTTATCAATGTGTTCAAAAATTGTTTTATTGAGTGATTTTATTTTTACTGAAATAAATTTTACTGCACTATTTGTTTTTAGTGATCACAAGGAAGTGGTCGAAACAGACAATAGGGCATTAGAAACTAGCCTGTCGCTCAACGATATTCTGCCCATAAATCCAAAAAATTACGACAAAAATCGAGCACCCAAAGTTCAAGGTCAACCAACCATCGTGTATTTCCACGTGACTGTTTTATCACTAGACTCCATAAATGAGGAATCCATGGTAGTGTAGAAATTTGACTTACTACTTTACTTCTATTGCAAAACATTTATTGTTTTTAGACGTACGTAGCTGATATATTCTTGGCACAAAGTTGGCGGGATCAACGACTAAGAATGCCAGAAAATATGAGCGAAGAGTATCGTATACTGGATGTTGATTGGTTGCACAAGATATGGCGCCCTGACTGCTTTTTTAAAAATGCCAAAAAAGTTACTTTCCACGAAATGAGTATACCAAATCACTATCTTTGGTTATACCATGATAAAACATTATTGTACATGTCCAAGTAAGTCTTTATAAATAAAATATTGGGTCATGTCAGACATTAGTTATTAAATATATTAACAGGTTAACTCTAGTTCTATCATGTGCTATGAAATTTGAATCGTATCCACACGACACTCAAATATGTTCGATGATGATCGAAAGCTGTGAGTATTAATAATAATAAGCCATTTTTAATTTATTTTTAATATTTACAATTACTCTAAACATTGTTTTTTATTTAGTATCTCATACAACTCACGATTTGGTTTTTATATGGAATATGACAGATCCCTTGGTAGTAAATCCAGAAATAGAATTACCACAATTAGACATATCTAACAACTACACAACAGATTGCACAATAGAATACTCAACAGGTATATGTATAAACTATAGTTTTGTTGTACAGAAGTAGGTCCAACTAGTATTGAAGGCACTTATAAAGAAAGAATTTTTTTGTAACAACTATTGTTAGAAAATTAAAATTATATGAAATTAAAGTCACTCATTACTTAACTTTTGAAAATGTTTCGGAAATACTAACACTTTTAAATATATCTTAAATTAAAGCTTATGTAATGTATTTTAATTTGAAAAAAAATTTAGGCCTCTAAACTGGTCTTCGTGATGAAATAGCCTTATGCTATTTCTGTGTTAAATTCTCGATTTCATATTTTACATTTGTAACTTTTATATAATATAATTTTATTTCTATAACTTTTGAAAAATGTATGGATTGCTACAAATTTGTTATAAGAAATACTATTAATATATTTCATTTGACATACTTTTGATTTAAATTGAACTATTTTCCTTTATACAGAGGGTTCAAAACTTTAAAATGCATAGAGAAACTAGAACTTTTTCAGTTTAATTTTTAAAAGTATTTCAGAAATACTGACACTTTTATGTACATCTTAAATAAAAGCTTATGTAATATACTTTAAAATGAAAAAAAAAATTGAGGACTTTATTTTGTTTTCATGATGAAAACGGACATCAAAGTTGATAATTAAAAATACGATTTTTGTAAAAAATTACAATGTTAAATTATTAAATATCAATTTCATACTATATTTAATTGCTTTAATAAATATTTATTCATATTTTACACTAATAAATCATCTATACTATACCCAATTATGCTACATGCCCACTGTCCCGCGACCCAACATTTTTACTATTACTGAAAAAAACATTCTTACATTATGTAATTAAAAGTTGCATAGTCTCATTTTTAATATAATATTTTTCATTTAACACAGTGGTAGCCTTATGAACTAAAATAAATGTAACTACTTCAAAACTCAAATTTTATTCGTTAATAAAACTGTCAGTCTTAATTATGGATTTTTAAGTAATCTTTCAACCTGTTTCAATAAATATTAAAAATATTAATTTAATTTAAGCCAAACTTTTTTATATTTTGTTGTATAAATGTAATAAGTATTTCTATGAAACAAGTTATCTAGAATCGTTTGAAAAATTGTTTAATATTTAATTTTATTATTTTATATGTCATATTTAAGAATATTTTATAATTAAACAATTTATTTATAGAAATTAAAAATAAAGCCGTATTTATATATTTAAACATTTGCTGAACTATTATATAAATTTTGATTAATTATAATATATAAATGTAGGATAAAATAATTGTATTACAACATTTAATGATTTTCTATTTGTATTGGCATTAGAACCACTCCATCTGTTGCTTTAAATTTCAAATCTAAATTCATAAAAAAAATTATTTTTTTACTACCGTTAGGTTGTTTAATACCAATTGGATTGGTATATCCTGGTGAAATTTAAGTGCAGAGGTTTCCCGTACCCTTCTGCACTGGGAACATGGAGCTTTTTCGCCACCGTAAAAGCGCACGTATGGTCACCCATCCGTTCACCTACGGCGGTAGGCGCGGTTTTACACTAGAGTTTTGACAACAACTAGTGTCACCACCGCGCAACACCACGTCCCTGTATAATAAAAAAAATTATAAGACATCGAATTTATACATTTTCATAAATATTTTTAAATACCTAGTTGAATTTTCTCATTTATTACAAATGTTTCTTCAGTGATTGGATCAAATTTGAATCCCAGTTGAAAATACTTTTCTATAATTACACTTCTGATATAATCTTCAACTTTTCTGGTTACGAATTTGATGAATACTAATTTTATGCCTTGGTTAATAATGTTTTTATATTCTTGATGCCACTCATTCCATAAATAATTCGTATCATAAGGTACAAATTCACAATGGATATTAGCTTTATTAATTACATTACTTATTTTTGTTTTCAGTAAAATATCTACTATATCTAATGTCGAAAAATATGTATATAAATCATTACGCGATAAAGATCGTTCTAAAAATTTGTCAAGAATATCTTCTATTTTCCCTAATAAAATACCTAATGTGTAGTAAATTCTATCACAAGTAACCAATGGTTTGTCTTGTAATAAATCTAAAGCGTCCATGGCACCTTTCATCAATGTTACCATTGGAACAAATAACTTTGATATTATATATATGAGTTTTTCGGTGCAAATGCATCCATTTATTATGTCGTTTTCTATAAATTTTTTTTCACAAATTTTTTTAATGTTGTCAATTATTATAGATAGACTTTTTAAAACTTTTCCGTATGTACATCCCAGATGTATAGATAATGCTCGTACTATTTGATACCGTCTATAGTGAATGGCAGGTTTTTTAATCAAATTATGAAGATAATATATATTACTGTGATATCTTATAAAATACACGTCATTCAAATTTTTCCATCCTGAATATGTTAATATCTTATCTAAATGATTTGATTTTTTTATTAATTTAGATTCTACTTTTGTATATAAAATCACAAAAAATAATAAAATTACTAGTTTTACAGAAAACATTTTGAAAATAATTAAAATGAATAGTGTTGTAAAAATATAATTTAACGAAGCTGAAAACACCCATTTTTATTCAGTTCTACATTTATGAATAATAAAATAAACATTTATGATGAAATATTTGTCATATAATAATAAATTCGTTTAAATATCTTTAATTTAGTATTATTCAAACACATGATTGTAATATTTTTTAATATTATTGAAAAAAATTTTGTTACATTAACAAATTTTGTAATTAACAGTTGCGCTAGTTTCATTTTTTCATTTCGCAGATTAAAAATTGCTATCGTATTAAAAAATATGCTACTTTTGTGTTAAAATTCACGATTTTATATTTCTATAACTTTTTGAAAAATATATGGTTCAATAACATTTTTTTTTAAATACTTTATAAACACACCATTTATCCGACATATTTTTTTTATAAATACAAGGGGTCAAAACTTTAAACACGTGTACAGAAACTAGAACTATTTCAACTTAATTTTTGAAAGTGTTTCGGAAATACTGACACTTATTTTTTATCTTTAATATTTTAAAGAAATAATTTTCGTCAGATTTACTGACTATCATTAACAGGGAACGAGGGAATTTATATTATTTTTCAAGGACTATATCTTCAACTAAATACGATTTGTATCAAAGTAAAATTAATATCTTCTGACATTCACATCGTATTTAAAATTGAATAGAACTATTAATTTTAAACAATAACTATTAAAAATATAACAAAGACAACATTATAAACATCCATTGAAACATAGCATATTAACTTCAATTTTTGGTTTAACAAGGTTAAAGTTCTCATTATTTACTATTAAAGTTATCACTATTGATTTTAGTGTAAGGCAATAGTTACGAAATTACTATTAATAAGTAACTTAAATGAAATAACGTGCTATTTTTAATGTTATTTGGAAAAATTTATATTTGTAATAATTAAGTCAAGAGAATTATTTCAGTGTATATTGTCATATATAATATTTTTATACTATGTACTTAGTAACATTGTTCTTATTTTACTATTGATGGTCGTACTCTTGATAATATCATAGACCTATAGTTTTTAATACATAGTAAATAAAAAAGAAGTCAAACTTATTTTTATTCAGTGATGACGTGGCATAGTTGGGTCAAGTATAATGACATCTGACAGTGATGTCACTATCATAAAAAACGCTTCGATGCAAATTTTTAGATAATATTTAATTTTAAAAAAATGGTGGATTATTCCAAAAGCTACATGATCTGCTATTTCTTAATTTATATCCTGATTAAGATAAAGTATATCGAATGAAAAAGATATATAAATATTATTTCTCATAAAAAAATTGTGTTGATTCATACATTTTTCAATAAGTTATAGCATTATAATGTTAAAAATGTAAAAAATAAAATCGAGAATTTTCACACAAAAATAGCATTCAGTAGCCATTTTCACCTTGAAGACAAAATAAAGTCCGAAATATTTATTTTCTATAATAAAATACATTACATAAGCTTTAATTTAAGATATATATAAAAGTGTCAGACTCTCCGAAACTCTTTCAAAAGTTAAGTGTAAAAGTAAATTTTTTGTGAAAAAGTTGTCATTTTAAATCCCCCACTGTGGGAAAGTAAAGGATCAGATTTATAAAAATATATATATAATGATTTGGTCATTATTAAAAAAGTTATGGCAGTTTTAAGTAAAAAAAAATTTAAAAATTAGCGATTTTTAAATTTGTATTTTTTTGGAGGTTTCCTCCATTTATGGGGAACGAGGGAAATCGTTTCAATTTTTGACGGTAATGTCTTCGACTAGATACGATTTGTGATCTTTTGATGTATCGTTAAAAGAGATCAGTCTTGAGATCGGAGAGCTGAGAAAAAGTGGTAACAGACACAAAAAAAAAAAACATCATAGTAAAACCAAAGATTTGCATCGAAGCTAAAAAAAAAAAAAAACACACATCATAAGAAAAATTAATACCCTCTCAGCTTTTTATCGAAGCTAAAATTGTATACAACTAAAACTGTTGTAATTTATTTTTTCACTAGTTTTTCTTGTGGATAAACTAGTACGATAGTTTACTTATTCACTAGTTTCTATTTATATTTCAAAATTTAGAGATTTTAAGTGTTTAATTTTTTTTATATATAATGTTAAATTATAATAAAAAGTAGTTATTAATTTAATTGTCATTTTAATAAATTTATTGAAGCATAATATATTATTATTAATTATATAAAAAGAGAAACGAATACAAGTATGTGGAAGAACGAACCTCCACGCTACACTCTTATGAAAACATAATAGCCTCCTTCAAAAAAAATTTGCCTCATTTTCCTTTATAGGAGCATTACATTTATCCAATGATTTCAAATTTGAGAGGTTGTAAATCTTAGTCTCTTAAGTTTAATGTTAAATTTTAGATTTTAATTTAATATATAATGTCAATACTTGTCTCAAACAAGTACTGACAGATTTGACAAAACACGGATTTGGCAACTCTATGAAGGACTTCCTCAAATCTCTTGACGTGAACTTATTTTAAATTTTTAATAAAGGGAAAATAATGACTTACTTTTTAAAATTTACAGGGAATTTCACTTGTTTAGCAGTTGTTTTTAACTTGCGGAGACGTCTAGGGTACCACTTATTTCACACTTACATTCCATCAGCACTAATTGTAGTCATGTCATGGATATCTTTTTGGATCAAACCGGAAGCGATACCAGCTAGAGTCACGTTGGGCGTGACGTCACTTTTAACTCTTGGTAAGACAAGTCTTTCCAAATTATTTTGTGTGCTATTTGAACAATTTACTAAATTATACTTATTGCAAATATTTTAATAAAATATTGAATTTAATATTCAGCTACTCAAAATACTCAATCACAACAATCCTTACCTCCTGTTTCTTACGTAAAAGCTATTGATATCTGGATGTCGTCGTGTTCCGTGTTTGTGTTTCTATCTTTAATGGAGTTTGCGGTTGTCAATAACTACATGGGACCAGTAGCTACTAAAGTCATGAAAGGCTACTCTGAGGAGGACATCCGCAGCGGAGACGAATTTAAGGTTATTTCAATATTTTTTAATAAATTGGTGTATATCAGTAGCGTAGTCAAAGTGACAAAGTGCAAAAACCCATAAGTTGACTGCAATTTATATCTTGATTACATTTATGTTTTATAATAGGTTTTAGTCATTAAATTTATCAGTTGTTAAATTCATTTTATAGTACGATAAGGTTATTTGAGTGTAAGTGTTTATTTTAAATAAACATAGGTGAACAACTAATATTCACTGTGTCTTTTCCCCTTAGTTAGAAAACAATGTGAAGTCACTAATACATATTTCTTTAAAATATATTTATAATAATTAGAAGTTTGTAAATTTAAATTTTATGCTATTAATAAAATTGTTGATAATTTGTACATTATAAATAATCTTCTCTGATAACAATAATTTAAAAAGAAAACATTTTATTTTTAAAAAAACATTCACATTTTTATTGTACAAGGTAAATAAAACAAAACTTCAGGACTAAATACATAATAAAACTGTTATGATATTTAATGTTACAATTACCGCCGGCCGTTTACCCAGATTGGTGGTGGAAACGGCTGATAAGAATCAATTTGTTTCCATCACCCCTTGTTGCCTGGCTCGAACATCTAATATAATTAAAATTTAATGTAAAATTGATTTTATAAGAAAAAATTTAACAGTACACATATATTGCACTCTGAACATGTTTTTGTTATTAATTGTTTATAATTAACAAATAAACAACTAGATATATATAAATATTACATGTCTATGTTAAAGAAACATTATATTATTGTTTTAGGAATTGGATCCTAAAAATCGAAGCCCTATTCGAAACATACCAACTGTAGCTGCTACTCCTCAATATCCTACTTTTTGCAACGGCCGTGCTATTGCCTTATATATTGATAAGTTTTCTCGATTCTTTTTTCCCTTTTCTTTTTTTATTTTAAATGTCGCCTACTGGACATCATTTCTATAAAATATTATGTAATTAAATTCCCTTTTCTTTATTAGATTCGATGAAATTTTATATAATTAGATAATATTTGAAAAAAAAACTTATTTGTTTATATAACTCGCGTTAAACTATTTGTCAATCTGATTACTTTATTAATTAAATAATTAGTGGTTACTATTTCTGTTTATCAGTGGCACAATTCAGTATCGACTGTATTTCACGCAGTCAATTATTCAATCCGAGAGGGTTAAAGTATAGCTTAAAGAAATTTAAAGTTTAATTTGGGGGTTCAAAATATTCACCTCTGGACTGAAACATAACAGCACTCATATCCTACCTAACTAAACATATCAATGAGATGGAAAAAATAATTTTAATGTCAATAAAACAACTTAATATTCTCATTTATTTATTTTTTTTTTTTGTATTTTTCATCAACATAATAATTTTATAAATGAGTAAACAATAGTTAAATATTGTAATCTTCTATCCTGTAAATTACATAATTTTGTTAAAGCTAAATGTAAATAAATAATAAATAGAGTTAAAAAAAAAAATAAGTAATTAATAAAATAAATAATGCATATATTTGAAAAGGCTAGAGTGATTTAAAATAACTTTGTAATAATTGGATAAAAACTTAATTTGAACAAATAGTCTGTCAGTTAAAAGGGAAAACAGGAATATTATGTAAACAAAACTGATCTCTTATCTATTGCACATTAATAATGTATATAAAGTATTGTTATTGGCGGAAGACAAAAATATGGCAGTAAAAGATATAATTATTACAATTTTAAAGAAAACATTGCGTGTAAAAGGAATTTCACAGTAACATTTTAACTTAAATTTTAAATCGTACAACCCTCAACCAAATTACTTTATTTTACAGTTAAATAATTTAAGAATTTATTTTAATTAATTCATTACAAATGTACATTGCAAGTTCTAGCTCTGATTAAATAAGTTTTAATATTGTTATTATATACATAAATAATGTGTAATTGTTTAACAAAAAAACATTGTTTTTAATTATTTATTTAAAATCTTTTACTATACAAATATAAATCTGTACACATTTAAAAAAACATGTGTTATAATGGTAAGAATTATCTAATCTCATATATCATTAAAGGCCATAACATATTAATATTGTTTTTTCATGAAAAACAGTCAACAACATATGAAATTCATGTATACAATACACATAAATTTTTGTCAATAAATTTACAATACATATTTCAAAGTTAACAAGTTCAATTTTTAATTTTTTTTTATAATAATAATTAACATACTAAATATATGTGCAAAAAAAAATTAATACTTATAATAGGGTAACATTAACAAAAGCATCGAGTGTTAGCTGAAGTGGGTTGGATAACAAATATCAAATTTATCAAAATTTCAAGTAGTTATTTTTAATGAGTTGAGCTTTATTTAAATGCCTTAATTATATTTATTTAGGAACAAATATTCATTAATTTAAAAATAAATTTAGATAAACATCAAGTTTTTTCTTCTTCTATTATTGCATACAAACTTATAATAAAATGTAAATTGCTAATTATGTGAAGATATTACCAAAATTTTCTAGAAATTTCAAGTTTCTCAACTCAATACAATAAAAAAAGGAAATCATGGCAGTTTTATATCATTATTATTTTTTAGTAATATCGCCAATAGGTTAGAGTATATAGCCATTAATACAGCACAAATTTCAAATGATTGTTTTATTGGCTAGTTTGTTAGTTTATTTTAACAATTTTTTATATTTTATCAATAAAAAAGAAAATGCTTGTTTAAAATAAATAAATAAATATGTATTAATGAAAATAAAAAATACAAAAATTAAATTAAATTAAAAATATCTTCTCTTATAATTTACAGAACAAATTTGAGAAACCATCTGAACAAGTTTTTTCATAGTAGATTGTTTCCTAAAAACTTAACTAAAAAATAAATTTAATTAAAAATATTTTTATTTTTTTGATTTATACTAACCAATTAAGTCTTATATATAATGAACTCAAAAAAAAAAAAAAGACTGATTTTTGATTGGTCATTGAGTTTTGAATTCTTTAGCAATGCTATATGATACTATTTTGTTCCAATCAATTTTTGTTCTTGTTACTGGTAGCTGGCGTCGAAGTGCTTTAAATGTTGTCTCAGACATTGTCTGATAGTTTTCAGTGATAGCTATTTGATATTCATTTTCAGCATCAGCAGCTAACTTCAAGATCTCTTTAACAGTTAGCTCCTCAGTCTGAATAAGTATAAAAACAAAAATATAAAATAAGTCAAAATTACTATTAACAGTTTTATATCATTTATTATAATAATAATTTGAAGTAGAAATTTCATTTATTACCGTTAAAGGTACTGATTCTTTAACTTCTTTTGATGCAACTAACTGAACATTACCGTTTTCATAATAGTGAACATGAATGCGTAGAAATCCAAGAACTTCAATGTTATTATTTTGGCCAATAGTAATTGTCCACTGAGACCTCCAACGACCGTTCCTAAAAATCACAGAGAATTGTGTGAATTCCAATAACAGAATAAATTGAAAATTACTTACCAAAAATTCTTAGCTTGAAATTCATGATCTTCAATACAAGCAGTTATCACAGTTAAAGCACTTTCTTTTTTTGCAAATACACTGCATGTTCCATGTTTGTAATGTAGAGAAGTATAGTTAGTAAATTCAGTTTCAAAAGCTGATCTCCAAGCTTCTATTTCTGTTTCAGGTTCCCAACTCTAAATATAATTTAACAGTATTACGTATTATTGAATAATCTTAACTGTTTTAAAATTATATCTACTTCATAATTAGAAGCTTCTTTTCTTAAATGGTCAAACTTAAATGATTGTTTAGATCTAGGATCAAAAAACTTATTGGATCCAAGATCATTGAACTGTGTAATTAATACTGGGTGTTCACTATTTTCAATTAGAACAGGCAATGTTTGTTCTTTATTGTACAATGCAAATGCCCTAAAAGTCAAGTATAAACTTAAAAGAAATCTCAAAAGATTAAATAAAAATTTAAAAATTTAAAGTTTTTAAAAATTGATATGGAAAAATTATTTTTATTTTTTAAGAAAAAATATTTGTATGCTAACATACCATCCAGTTCCTTCCTTGAGTAAGGCATCATTGTTTACCAATCCCCGAACATCTTAAATAAAACATACATATTATTAAATAATATCAATTATTTTAGTATATAAGTGAATCAGGTAAACCTTTAATAAAATTATAAAAAATATTTAAAATATAATAGTGAAATTTATTTTATCTAATAAATGAACAACTTAAAAGTTAATATTCTACAAAATGCATAGTATTATATAACTTCATAAATCATAAAATATAATGTAAAAATAAAATTCATTAAATAAATCTGATGATAATTAGGGGAGTTGATTGATATGAATTTGTATAGTGATATTATAAAATACCTAAAAACACATTATACTATTTTATGATTTTCTTTCATTCAGGAATTCTCCATGCATAATGAGTAGTAGTAAATCCTATAATGTACAATTATAAATTTAATTACAATATGTAATATTCTTTTAATTGATATTTTTGTTACTGAAAATGATGTTTTAAGTAAATTCAAATTAATAAAACTTATGTACAGCAGTCTAGTGTCAACTTCATACATTAATAAAAATAGACTTACATAATGTCAATTAAACAAAAAATTATATTTACCGTTGAAGACTTCATTAAATTCTCCAGGTGGTGAATGCAATATGAAATCAGAAACAATTCTGACCTAAAAACAACAGAAATATAAAAAAAAATATGTAAATCCCCACTGATATTGTAACTCAAAGTCAAATATATATCTTGATGTTTAACTGAATTTAATTAATACTTCAATAGATATAAGTGATGTTAGTTCAAATTTGGTTTAATTAGATATTTCTAAAATGAAAATAGAGTTCATTTTTTATTGAATTATCTCAAGGTATAATTCCATATTTCAAATTCACACTAATGTAATTCAATAGTAATTAAGATACAAATGATAAATTATTGGAAAATCTCACCTTTTCTTGATCTGAAATAACTTCTTCTCCTTCCATAGCCATAATAATTATTTCAAAGGATTATTAAAAAAGATATTTTAAAATATTTTGATATTTATTTATAGTCAAAATGACCAAAGTATTAAAACAAAGTTTCACGTTAAGTTTTTTATTTAACTCAAGAAAATATTTTGATGTAAATAGGAATTTAAATTTGTAAAATTAAGTCGCGACACCAAAATAATAGATACATCAAAATAATTATTATTTAAAATATTTGAATTATGTTAATTTAGCATATACCAAACGGAAAACCAACAATATTAACTTTATATAAGTATTAATATACACAAAAATACATAAAATACGATTGCGTGAAATCGGCGACAATAAGAATGAATCACAGTTAATTGTTATTATTATTATTTTTTTTTACTAAGCTAAGGAATTTAATTTTTATTCGAGATTAAGAGGTTATGAAAAGGACACGCACGCACAGCCGCCCTGTTATCAATTTTCATAACTTATTTTACAGATTTCCAACTGGTGGTGGGGTGACGACCGATGTCGATTTCTATGGAGGAAAATTGCTATGGAAGAAAAAATATTCGTCTTTTTCTGACTGAACTATGATTAGCATTATATTTTCACAAATTCCATTTGTTTTTATAAAGGAATATTACATTCTGTTAATAAACAAAACAATATGTAATAATTATAATCACAAATATAATTAAAAATACACGTATATTATGATGAGGAAAATTATTAACTTTGTACCGCTCCTTTTATTCATTACTAAAATAACTTAACTTGTATATATATATAGAATAACATATAATCGGAGATATTTTTATAGAATTAAATTCTTTAATAATATTTTTGGTTAGATATTTATCTATTTTAATATAGATCTATGCCTATAGTTTCGTTCAATGTTGAGTAATTTGAGACGATAGAAGTTATAATACAATTGCGATTATAAAATGATGACATATACTAGTGCCATGAAATTAAATATATTTAATATATATAGACAGACAGAAATTGTTTCAAAATTTTAAAATGCACAATTGAAATTTTTAGTAAAAGTTTAGTTGAGAGTTGTTAAATAAATACATTATTTTTTATTAAGATAATTAAAACGATTCTTAAAACAATTATCATTTCAAAAAAAATCTATTATGAATATTTTTAACCATGACATATTCTAAATATAAAAATAATAAAAAAATCTAATGTTTTATCTGCTGTTAATAACATTTTGAGTGACATAAAAAATGATTTGATGTGCAGTAACTGTTTATAGGGTAGATATCTATTTTAAAAAAAGTGGAAAGAGCAAATGAATTTTATTAATAGTTTATTCTACCTTCTTATGAAACTAAATTTTGTCAATGTAATAGTTGATTAAATAGAGTGGATGGGTATAAGATTTTGAAAATTAACCAAATGAATAAAATAAAATCTGAATAACCATTTCAGTAAAATCAAACGCCAATTTTTTAAACTCTTGTACAATTTTATATAAATTTTGATAAGAAATAAGTTTAACATTCTTATATTATCAATTGAACAATAACTCTTAATCGTTATCATTGACCTATTTTTTTTTTTTAAATTTGACCTGTCTAATTATTTCATTTGTCATTAAGCTTAAAATGTTTTATTCTAATTTAAAATTCGTAATTGTTTTAATACTTACTTAAATTTGTTTATAGTATTATACTTTATAAATTGTAGTCGGAAAATTATTATTTTTCCTTTAAAATATAATTTATACAAAAATTACTAATTATTTATGGGTATTTTTTTAGGGAAAGTGAGTAATATTTTTTTTAGTAAGGTTTTGGTGGTACAATTTTTAAATTGTATGTAAATAATATATTTTTAGAAAATTTAAAATAATTCAGATGTAACGAATACAAGATTTTTATACATTATATCTTGTCTTTAAAATCTCTTAGAGTCTATTGAAACATTTTTTTTACTTAATGTTATAATTAAAAAGTGGATTTATAAATTTTATTTTAACTATTTTAAAAGGACCTAAGTTTGCAGTTTTTTTTTTTTTTTTGGAATACACAGTAACTTGGAATATTTTTTGTTTTAGGAGAAATATATCCCCTAATCCTCTAATCCAACCTAAGTTATATCACATTGCTATGTTTTCAAGCCTAATAATACATATTTGTACTGAACGATGATCTATTTAAAATACCTTAACAAAATGAATAAATATATATAAACTCATTCTCTAGTTTAATATCATAAGTTTTTCGTATAATTTTTAAGTGTAAAAATCAATATTGATTTTTAATTCTAAGTAATTATTTTTATATAAAATTAAATAATATTAATTAAACAAATGAACTTTGCAATAACAAACCAAAAATTTTCAAATTCATACTAATTAAAACTAATAACAATAAATGTTAAAAAAAAATAAAAACATGTTCATATTAAAGTTCAATTTCTAAAATTTGTTTGTGAATGTTTTATTTAAAATGAATATATTCATATAAATTATTCTATATGAACATGTTTTGACCCATTACTGAATAATAATAATAATATAAGTATTGTTTTTTAGGTAGAGCATAATGTTAATTCAAAATTATCCCTTCAAGAGCTTAAAATGTTGGAAAATCAGAAAGTAAAACTTTATTTACTTGTTTTTTAATTTTTGATTATTTTATATTTCGAATGTTCAGCAAATATTTTACATGTAACTTTAAATATTAGTAAAATAAATTAATTTTTAGGCGAGAGTTGATCAAGTTTATATAGAAGGATTAAGAAAATCAAAAAATTCAATCCTTGAACCATCAATAAAACTGATGTTTACATCTAAAACATTTTGCAATGTAAGAAATAGTAAAAAAAATTGATAAGGTAACTTGTTAAATTATTGAATAACTAAGAATTTATTAAACTTCAAAATTATTCAACAGATTTCTAATACAAATTAAATTCTAATACCTGTATATACAATTAATAATTTTATCTACTCTTATATTTTAATACTTAAAGCAATACCAATTAAAAATTACCTAGTAAATTGAATTTAATTTCAAAAAATCAAGAAAGATTTGTAATTGAACAGGGTATTAATTGTTCATAGCAAATTTAAATGTCAAAATAAGTATTTTAAATTTTGCTATTAAAGTCATTGATAGAGCTGTCAGAGTTTGATGGCAAGTCAGTAAAAATGTACTAGTAATCATGTGAAAAAAAAGGCACAGTACAAGATTAGAATCTATCATTAAGACAAATTTTACCACTAGACCACTGTATACTTATGGTCTAGATCTCGAAACAGTTCTAATAGGTTGATAATTAACAGTTTCGCAAAAAAAAATTGAAAATGAAAAGTAAACAGACAATGTTTACTTTATGTTTTTGGGGTCGCTAAATCCGAATCTGAGGTTTGTTTAACGTCATCACGTCATGGTTTTTCATAACTTCAAAAAATGTGCTTAAGAACCAAGGTATTCATTAGAAAGTAAGACAGGAAAATTTATAACCCAAATCTACTGTGCACAGAGCCTTAACCTGTAAAAATCCTAACATCATTTAGACTGACCTGACGTTGAGAGTACTTTTGGCATAATATAGTAATATACCATACAATACTTTAATGTTAATACTATACTAGGAAAGAGCAGTACTATTAGTAAGAAATTGCCTTGTTGATTTAGTTGAGTATTTACTTGGTTCTTACTTTCTAATGAATAACTTAGTTCTTAAGCACATTTTTTGAAGTTATGAAAAACCATGACGTGATGGCGTCAAATAAACCTCAGATTCGGATTCAGCGACCCCAAAAACATAAAGTAAACATATTCTGTTTAGCAACTTGTCACTAAATTTTTTTTATGAGCTGTGTAATTTAAGGGAATCACAGTATGGTATCATTATGCATTATAAATTAACAAAATTACTCAAATACTAGAGAGTTGAAATTTAAAATGTTAATAATGATGATCACTTAAGGGTTGTTTAGTAACTAGTTACCTTATTATTAAAATATTTTAAAAATTTCTTATGTCTTATGTATAGTAAATATTATTTTGAAATAAGGTTCTAGGAAATGCAGAAATAGTACGAAAAAATTTGATGAACTTAAGATGTTTTGAAAATGTTACTATAGATATAGATGTAAGTGAAGGGCCAAAATCTACTCTGAATGGTTACAAGGTATTAGTTGATTTGTTAAATCATATTTTAATTTGTTGTACAATTAATAAATTATATCATTTAGGTAACTTTCAGAACTCAAGAGCTTAAATTACTATCTGGTATTCATCATGTAGAAACTAGTGATAATGAAGGTCTAGTTAAATTTGGCTTCATTTTAAATAACTTAACAGGGCATGCTGAACATTTCAAACTAGAAACATCACTTGGCAATAGTGGTACACAAAGTTTTAATGGTTGTGTTTTCAAATTCGTTCCTGGAAATATAACATCATGGTATAATTTTAAATTATTAAAATATTGGTAATACTAATATGTCTGAAATTTAGCATTTCCGGTCAAGTTTATAAGAAAATATCCCATTGGAATTCTGTGCATGGTATTTTTAATGAGTGGGGAACTCTCTTTGATGTTTGTTTTTTAGCACCTGTTAAGGTAAAAAAAAATTATGATGTACTTATCATTTTAGATAATTGTGACATTGGTTTTTTTAAGTATAATTTCTACACTTATTTTAAATAAATAACAAAAAATGTTAAGAATATTAAATTTCAAAAATATTTTTTTAATAGAATCATTTTAGTCAAAACTTACAATATGAAGCAATTATTCGTGATATTAATATGCTGTCTAAAGAAAGTCCTTTTAAGTTACGAGAGGAATCAGGACTATCCTTAAAGTCATCGATCAAACATTTAACTACTTTAGATACAAGAGATTCAAAAGTATTACCAAATAATGGAGTGTTTTGTCAAATGGTTATGGAAGTTGCTGGTTTTGGTGGAGATATTTCATTTCTGAGAAATTATTTTATTGGACAATTTTTTTCAAAAATAACTAATGATGTTGTGAGTAAAAGTTTATTAATATATTTATTTAAGTGAATAGTTTTGTGTTCATTATCCTAGGTATTCCAAGGGTCATTTGGTGGAGGTTTTATGACAGACTTAGGAACTTTCAAGAAGCCTAACCTTATGGACAAATTTTTCCTTGGTGGTCCTATGACTCTACGTGGCTTTCAATCCCGTGGAATTGGTAGTTTGAGTAATAATTCCATTGCTGGTGTTACGGTAAATTAATTGTAGTATATTTGTTTGGTATTTATCTTCCTTAAAAATGAAGCCTTGTTTTTCATTCAAATTCATATTCTTTATTAACCTAACTAAATTAAATTTTATTAAAAGTGTCAGCATTCCATAATGTGTAAATTGAAATATTTTTTTTTTGCATATTTTAGTAAAAGCTACTAAAAACCACATATTATATAAATGCATTTTTAGTAATCTTAAACATTTTCTTTTTAAATCTTTTTTCTCGACAATTTTTTATGTGAAAGTTTTGATTAAATAACTAACAAATTATTTTAACTTATCAAAAACTTTCAAGAGTAGGATTATGTGGTTGAGTTAGATTTATGGTGGGGTTTTTATTTTATTACATTAATATAGTTATACTATAGGTTCATAATTTATATTGTTTGTCAAATATATAATCAAAATTTAAATATTATTTTAACAAATTTTTTAAGTATTTTTTTTATAATTTACATGTATATTTTCAAGTATTTTTTGTACACAAGTCTGATCTTTCTAATAAATAAACTACATAAAAAAATTCCTTAAAACATAATTTTATGTATACTATTAAGTACATTAAATTTATGTACTAACATTTATTTTAATAACCAAAATAGAGTTATTGGGTATCAGCTATTCATATTTACATAAAACCACTTTTGGGTATGGAAAATAGTAGAATAAATGATGTATTCAGACTACACTTATTTTGTAATGCTGGAAATATATCATTCATAGGTAAATATAATAAAATGATACTTCCATGAGTAAATACTAAAAATTATACTTTTTTCCTTTTCTTATTTTCCAGGAAACGATGCTAAAAGTTCTATGAGCAATTTGTTCAAGGAGTTTAGGTTAGCTGCAGGTGTTGGAATAGTTGCTCGAATAGGTAACTCAGCTAGATTTGAATTCAATTTTTGTAACCCTCTACAGTACATCAAAGGAGACAGAACAGTAAATGGTTTCCAATTTGGGGTTGGTGTTCATTTTATATAAAATGATAAACAATGAGATACCTGAATCAAATAATAACTTAACATTTTTATTTTAATGTGCCATTGTTTTTAGCATGTTGGAGATATCAGTATTATTTTATTTTGTTAAAACCAATTTTTGTTTTGTATTCTTAATTTCTTTTGGTGTAATAATAATCTATATTTTTTTTAGTAAAACAATTAAACAAAAAATTAGTTTTTCTTTTAACTGATTATAAAGATATTGTTATTTGTTATATTATATTTTTACATGTATAAAAAAATTCTATCAGAAAAAAAACTATTTATAACTTATTAAGTGTAAATATTAAATTATAAAATAATAAATTATTTATTTATTCTATTTAAATAATATTTCTAGTTTATTATATTTATAACATGTACAATTTATCATATCCCACTCAATTACTCACAAAACAAACAAAATATTGATTTTGTTTAGTTACATATATTTTTTGATTAACTAGCTATTAATTATTATTTAGCATCATCCCTTACAAGTTATAATAAACTTAATTTTTTTATTATCAACAGTTTATAAAATAACAACAATTGTTTTAATTAAGAAAAGGACAGGTCGTTAACAATTTTTCGACCATTACTTTGGAAGTTATTAACTTTTTTTATACATTGGTGGGAGAAGAAGTGTTAATATTAAAATATATATTTATATATAATATTAAAAGAAATTTTTAATATTATAAATTGTGCATAACCTTGACTCTTCCTCAGTCTAGTTTTTAAAATATGTATAACTTTCAATATACTCATTCAAAAATTGTTATTGATCTATCATTTTCTAAATTAAATCAATTTCTATTTTATAAGATAGAAATAATGCGTGTTGTCATTTAAAAAAATTAAGTTGACATCTTAATAAGTTATATAAGAGATGATGTTAAAAATAATAGCCAATAAACTTTAGTAAATTTATAGATATGAAAAAATGATATATTTATATCTACTTTTTCTCTGTGTTACACAGATCCCAGTTTATTTACTTACATAACTGATTTATTTAATAAAGGAATTAATAAAGAAACAAAAATTAAAAAATTTAGGAGACTTCAGTAAGGGCATAATTTCTACTTGATTTAATAGCTAATTTATATTAGATCTAACCATTAGATAATATAAATTTACGGCTCATTTTTAAGTAATCATAGGCACAATTAAAACAAAATTTTTAGTATTAAAAACTTAATTTCTCTTCTTTTTAAAAATATTTTTATATAAATTCACATGTAATATACTTCTTTAGATTGCGCCTATACAAGTAATGTAATTACGTATAAATTAAAAAAAGGACATGCAATACTCAGGCCATCAAATAAAAAATATTTTTAACCTCAATTTAAAAATGATTCTTATCCCTAATACAATTTAATCCTAGAGGCGCTCTTAAGCCGGATATATACTTGGCCAATTTGAATTAACCAATGTAAAATGGTAAAAGTTTATATACATATATATATATATATATATATATATATATATATATATATATATTGCTTAGTTACTCAAAAAAAATTTAATCAAACAACTAAAATTTTAGCATGTATTAAAGTGGTATGTAGTAATTGGGTTTTTTTTTTTTAATTAAAAAAACAGTTTGACATTTATACAATTTATTTTTTTAACAATTTAATTTATCAAGTTAACTTAAACACTGTTTAAAATGCATGTTAATAATATTTAAAATTTGTAATTCAAAATATACAGAGAAATTATAAACAAAATATGTATTTGAATACATTAACATTTTCTTTTATAACTCATAATACATTATTTATAAATATAAACTACGTCTTATTCTGACAGTTAATAAGTTATGGAATAAATTTTACTATAAAAATATCCTAATATTTATGAAAATTATTCGGAATACTTATTAAATAATCACTGTCATAATTATCTGGAGGATTTAACACCCATATCCCTCTTATAACAAAAATAATTAAATGGCGAAGATACAATTTTTTTCGTTAGATCCTTTCAAAAAAATGTCTTTACGAATTTCAAAAACACTCACACTACCCACTGTCACATATAAATGAGCAGGAGACTATCAAAATTTCAAAGTATATCTGGATTCAATACAATTTTTTTTTCTCACCTTTATCCCAACTACTTGGGGTCATCCACCCTTAATCTTAACCCCCATTTGACACGATAAATTATACTATCTATAGCTAACTATTATTTATTCACAGAATAATTTAAAATTAATGAAAAGAATCTCAAAAAATTTTATTTAAAATTTTCGAATCCTCAAAAATTTAATATTGTATTTTTATGTAAAAAATAGCAAAAAAGTTTAAACAACTTAGTAAAACTTCTTTTAGGGAATAATGAAAGTGTCAGCAAGTACTTGCGAAATAAGCCCAACAGCAGAGTTTCAAAATGTGGAGTTAAGAGGTGGCCAAATAATTGTAAGTTGCAAGTGTACCAGAAATGATGGAATGCAACAAGAGTGTAGATTACCTAAATGTATGGGAAGACCTGAATGCTTGAACTGGCCTTTACCAACATGTAAGCCAAGTCAACTATTTGCGTCGATTAGACCTTTACGGTACACAAAGAAGGTAAGCAATTCACCTATTAACCGAGAGCCGAAAATTACTGAAGTTAAATTCCCTTTGCAAAACGATGGAAACTCAAGTGCTAGACATCGACTACTTCGTTATTTAAAAAAGAAAGCCGCAGCACAATACGATGATCGAATGACACCCCAAAAAACATTTGAGCCCTGCTCGGTACATCTTCGTCAATTTAAAATTGATAATTAATTTTTTGAATCCTACATGCTAAAAATTAAAGCCATTACCAAGATGACAATAATTATTGAGATTAACATTTAGCAATAAATGATTGTACTTAACAATGAATTATCCAAAAAAAAAATTTCTTATAATAATTAAGATACATTCTTTCTTCTTTTTCCACGTCTTAATCTCAACAAAAAAAAATGAAATAACAATTGAAATTTTATTAAACTTTAAAATAACGTGTAAATAATTAATATAATATAAAAAAACATATTCAAAACTCATTTTTTACCTGTATATATTTTTTTCTAATTTATTTTCTTCAAAAATACAAAAATAATCTATTGAAAATATATACATAAGTAAACTTAAATACATGGGACCACAATTTTTATTAATAAGTATTTTAAAATCATATATAATTAGAAATACAAATTACTCGAGGTAACTTTTAAAATTTTGATTTTTATTAAGTAATCTTTTATATTATTTTCAATAAATAGGTAGTTCACCTACTATTGACATTAATATTGCACATCATTTTTTTAAATATTCTGAATAAGTGCCTAAATTACGGATTTAAATGTTGAACTTATAAAACGCTTTAGTATAACATTGAAAACCGCAACTCCTAGGTGTAATATTGATGTTGTAAATTCGATAATTATGCAAAAAAATAGCAAATTTATTTGTCAAATTATATCCATTGTATTATATGCCTGCTTTTGTATATATTTAGGTATTTAATTATGTTTATAAGTTAAAAATTTGATTATATTATAAAATAATTTGATGTTAGAATAAAGACCTAATACAAAGTATTTTATAGTCTTCAGATTCTTATATTTCTTGCATGAGAAAACAACCAAATACAAGCAGACTAGAGCAAAAATCCAAGGAGTGCTAAAATTATGTAAAGTTCACAAAAAAAAATTGTAGGGAGCTCCCCCCCAATACACACCATTAATATAGATGGCTGCATAATGATATAATGTTAGTATTAATGATCATAATTTATATATAATTGTATAACCGAGCCATCTATTCTGCTTGATAGGTAGCTTAATATTGAAATATCCGAGTAGAATCAACATAACGATTTTATTTACAATAATATAAATGTAGTACAAGAAAAAAACTGAAATACAGAAAACCGATAATACATTTTTATAAATAATATATTTTATAGATATTTTTTTCATCGATTTTTATATACCAACCTTCGAACATGCATTTTGACGTGAAAAATTGATAAAGACCACTATGACTTCCTCTAATAAGGGGGATATTGAAAAAATTTACCTTTTTTCCATTAAAAATTAAAAATTCTGAATTATATTAATTTTGTACAGCTAAAATTACGTTTCCGATTATTGTGCACCCTATCAAATTTTAATAATTTACTATCAAATTGAAAAAAAATACTAATAATTGTTTTTAGTAATACGAAAATATCGTAAATAAACATACAACTTTGTGACTAAGATAATTACCGTTTACAATTGTTACATTTGTTGAATTATCTAAGGTTACAGATTGATCATCACTAAGTTTCACAATATTCTTGTTATATTTTAGCCTAATTCTGGATTTTTTTTTGAAAAAGGAATTCTATTAAAAATTGATTGTATTTAAATTCACTATTACTTAAAAACAAGTTAAAATTCACGGAGCCTAGAAATAACGAGTGCGAGCTTGGGGTTCCAATTCTTCGGTGTACTAACTTTTTTTCGCGATTTCTAATACATTACCCTGACAGTCCGTTAGTCGCCGATAACTGTGTCAACATAAAGGGAAGGGCCATCAAAAAAATGTATAAAAACAAACAGCATATTTACGGACGAGGTCCGTGGCGGACCCTGGACCCGATGGATATGAAATTATTGTTGACGGTGGGGAAGGGGTGAATCCGACCCACTACTCTATTTTCTAAAAGCTATATGGACCCGTCATATATTTCTAAATATGCTACTGACAAATATATACACTAATACATAAACTCTAAAATACAACTTAGAAACAAAAAGTAAAATAATTCCAGCACAGCGGTGCGTGCCATAGATTAACCTATGATATTATTTACAAAAAAAATGTTTTCTTTAATAGACATTTATTTAAGAATTAGGTTTAACAAATTTTTTTTAATAAAATTTTAAATAAAAACTAAATGATAATTATTCGATTGAATCAATCGTCAAATCTTAGTGATCCACTAGCATATTAAAAATTATTAAAATGAGTATTAATTTCTAATTTAATAAGTGTTGGATCCATACTTCCACTAGTTTGTGTGATCGAAATTTTTTTTTCTTTGTGTAATCCTTTAAAAACAAATATATTTGATTATACATTTTATAAAAAAACATAAGTTTTTTTTAATATACCTTCACTTTTATTCATAAAAAAGTTATTCGCTTACTTAATAGTGTAGAAAATATTTTACAAGCTTTTTTCCGGCTGGTAATTCGAGTTGGGCATAGTTGGGTAAATTTCAATTCATTTTCTTGGCTGGAACTTTGATTAATCATTTCAACAATGTTTTCAAACACTTCAATTGATTTCTCACCACTTGAATTTAATGGACTTTTAATTAACACATAAAAATATATAAATATATTATTATATCATTTTTTTACACATTGCAATGAACACATACATATGAGACACATTATCTTGAAGTTTAAATTCATCACTACAAATGATATTACGTGGTTCATACTCAGTATCACGCTTATTTTTAATTAGAGAATCATTTGATGGTAGTTGGTCAACATAATTAGACATAACTTCTGGAAAAGCAGTTGAATTGTGCTGTGGAAAATTAATCATAGAAGGATTTTCATTCAAAAATATTATGTTGGGAGGCGAATTAAACGGAAGTATAGGTTGTGAAATATCAATGTTGGATAACCTAGGAATTATGGAGCTTTTCTTGGGTAAAAGACTTTGGTTAATTCTACGTTTTGTTTCAGCTTCAAATTCATCCCAATCATTACCAATTTTAATGAGAGCTGAGATATCTTTAACACTGTCACTTAATTTTTTATTCATCTAGACAGTTAAAAATAAATTAATAATTAATAAGTGTTGATTCAACATTTGAATTATGTCTGTTAGAATGTTAAGCTAATAATTCTGGTTATAGGCGGAACTATTACCTGGGCCATGACACATGCTAATGACCACCTAATTTGAAGTTATTATTGTAATTTTTATTATTAAAAATTTATAAATTATAAATATAATTTTAATATAAAAAATTAATTGCTGATTGTTAGTAATTTTCTTCACAGTTCTACAAAAAATAAATAAATATATCCTTTAAAATCACCCGCATTACATTTTGATATGTGCGAGGGCTTATCTAGGTGAGATAGTGGTGATATTTACTCTAAGTGAAAATAATTACGTTACAAAGGTACAATTTTTTTCAATTAGGTAGGGTAGAAAGATATTTCTTATATATAACACCACAAATCACAGGGAGAGTTTAAAAAATATACAGGGTGTTCAGTAAGTCAGGAAACTTTCCTGACTTACTGAACACCCTGTATATTTTNAGAACAATAGAAACCCGTTTCCTGACTTACTGAACACCCTGTATATTTTTATATAACATTATATATAGAGTGCTCATTAAGTAAGGAATTGGATTTCTATTGTTCTCATTGTTTGTAACAATTGACCTGTTTCCTTAATTACTGAACACTGTATAATAATATTCATTTTCGGAGGTACTAATTTTACTTTTGGATAAGCTTAGCCATAAATTCCACTTCTAACACCAGAGGTCTGCCTCACATAAAAAAATTCTAAACATATCACTGAAAATATATGTATTAAAGTGGCTTAATCTAATAAAAAAATCAAATTCATTATTCCTATAATTTTAGTTCAATCAAATACAATGTAAGAGTTAAAACTATATCATTTGAATAAATACCAAAAATATTGTATAATAGTGAATTTAGGAATTTGATTACAAAATCCAATATTTTAATTATATAAACTATTAAATCTACTTCAAAATTTTAAAAAAAATGTTAATAGAAAAGATTCATTAAATAAAAAAAAAAAAAAATCCATCTATATTCAGACATGTTATAGTTGGTTTAATTTTTAAAGTTACAGTTTTATGAAATTGATTGTTACCTCATTTACAGTACTTCTCCATACAAGACTATTGTTGGTTAAACCTTAAAGATATTTAAATAAAATTTCAATTAGTAAAATATAAATCATTTATAACTTTAGATACATAAATAAATAATCTTTTTTTGTTATATTTTTTGGATTTTAAACTATGTAAAGCCAAGAGTTTAAATAAATCATTAAAAAAATTATTTAGTGATTGAATTAATATAAAAAGTTCTTTAAATTGAATAATAAAGATTTTCAATTTATAATCTTTAATTCCACCTTACTACATACCATTTCATAAATTGTTTGATTAAGAAGTATCTGGGCATTTTTATAAATGGAAGATTTTTTTGTCAAAAAATAAGAACTTTTTTTATCTATTTGTAAAATTTGTTTAACAAAACCAGTCTCCACAAACGATATTTGCTATTTTTATAAAATTGTTATTTTTGATAAATTTTCCCATTTATTAAATGTTAGTCACAATAAAGGAATAACAGTAAATATATCATAATAAAATTAATATTTTTTCATCTTTACACAAAAAAAATTTTTATTTTATTTTTTTCAGTAACTAATACTTACATTCTTCTGCTAATGGAATCAGATTCAAATGAGGTAATTCATTGTTTAAGCTTTGCTTAAATATACTAAAAAATAACAAATAAAAGTAATTTTAATTGATTTGAAAAATTATAGAAATATTATCACACACCTGTTATGGCCAGGGTGTTTTAAGTTATTGCACTTTTCAACAATAGCATTATATTCATTTTTTGTCATATATCTACTAAAAATACCATTTGAAATCTAATATAGAATATTAGGATAATTAGTTTAATTGTAATATTTTTAAGCTACTAATTAAAATGTAGCATCAAAATGTAAGCTACTAATTACTAGCATACTTCTATTTCATCTAGTTCTTTTTGAATTGTTACTGCAGAAAATCCTATGTGAAGCATTTTATTTAACTCAAAATATCTTAATGGAAAATGGCTTATACTTTGATTATATCTCGTAGCAATATACTGAAATGGTCTCTAATTTGTTTAGGAAATTAATTTATGAAATTAATATTATATTATGTATACACAATTACATAGTATTAATATTAAAAAATAAAAGGAAAAAAACACATAAATAATGTTATGTATTGTAGTATTAAAAAACATAGAATTATAATTAATAGTGTGATTACTTTAGGCAAACAAATTTTCATTTTCTTCAACCGTTTTAAATTTAAATTTTCATTATTATAAATATTTTTTCTCTTCTAAAAAAAAAAAATAATATAATTCCAAGTTAAGCTGTGAAATAGCAAGCTACAAAAACTTTATCTTAAGTCAATAATAAACAGATGACAATTGTATTCTGAAATATAAAAATTTAATCAAAAATTACAGAAACTATTTGTTATAGGTCATTAACTAATACAATTTAATAATATAATTCAAATAATAATTTGTGCAATCAACTCAACTTAAGGAAAATAAGTTTTGCGAGTACTATTATAATAACAATTTGCTTTTTATAATGTATTAGCTTCAATAGCTAGCTGGTAAACTATTAGTTATACTCTGCTGTTATTATTATTTTTTTTTTTTGTATGTGTCAGTATACACAATTACTCCTCTAATAGGTTGTTCGAAAAGTCTTGGGACTAACGCTTAGATGCAAACTTTAATAATTTATCCTTATAATTTTTAGTTAGTACCAACCTTCAAATGAAACATGTCAAAAATTCATAACACTTCAATAAATCATTCCTAAGTTACAGTCATTTAACTGAAGCTACTGGTGTTATTTTGTAAACAATAGATAAAAACAAATTTCATATGTTGATTAAACACTGCTATTTGATGGGAAAAACACTGTGAAAACCCAGGAATGAAAAGTGTTGTAAGGACTCTGCCCTATTAAAAACAACTATTTGTTGCTGGGTTTCTGAATTTAAATACAGTTATACGGACACAAATGACGCTCCACATTCAAGAACCTAAATAAGGAATTACACCAAAAAACAAAAAAAATCCACAAAATCGTGTTTAAAAATCTTTAAGTAAAAGTTTGTGATATATATATATATAAAGATCTCAATTGACTGTGTGTATCATATTCTACATTAATATTTGGGTATGAGAAAGCTGGATGTCACGTTTACTAACAGTGTACCAAAAACAACAACAACATGTAGATGATTCGTAGAGTTGTTTGGAGTTATTTACTATAACCACCATATAGTCCAGACCTGGCCCCTAGCAAATACTACCTCTTCGCCAATCTCAAGCGGATGCTCCAAGGAAAAAGTCATTGCCAAAAATAAGGTGTATTTTAAGGGTAAACATAAATCGTTCTATTTGAAGGGCATAGAAATGTTAGAACGTCACTGGAATGAATGTATCACTTTAGAAGAAAACTATATTGAACGATAAAGTCAAATTTGTTGAAAAAAAGATGTGTTTTTATTTGTTAGTCACAAGTAAGTTTTTGAACAACTTATTAATTCAACCTATTGGACAGATTTTGCTCAATGATACATCTTAAGATTACAAAACTTATTTAGTTGAACCTATCAATGCCATAATTTAAAAAAATATCCCACATTTCCGGTAATAAAGGGAAATATACCAAAAATTACAGTAATCATAAAACAGTCAATGTAGATATTTTTAGTTTTCATTAATATTGAAATAACATTTTTATTGAGATCATCAATAAAAAACAACAGTACCACATTTGGTTCGCGGCACAGTATAATGTGGGATAGTTGGGACAAGTATAGATGATATCTGACAGTAATTGAAAGAGGTATATAAATAGTATTTACCATAAAAAAAATTGTATTAATCCATACATTTTTCAAAAAGTTATAGAAATATAAAATTAAAAATATAAAATAGAGAATTTTAACACAAAAGTAGCATACAGTAGCTAGTATTATAGTATTATAGTATTTTCACCATGAAGACAAAATAAAGTTCGAAATTTTTTTTTCCATAATAAATTATATTATACAAGCTTTAATTTAAGATATATTATTAAAGTGTCATTATTTCCTGAATATTTTCAAAAGTTAATTTATTGTGGAAAATTTTTTTTGGAGATTTCCTCTATTTAATGGAAACAAGGGAAATTTTTTCAATTTTTGAGGGTATTGTCTTTGTCTAGATATGATTTGTGATTTTTTGACGTATCGTTAAAAAAATTGGTTCCGTAAGAACTGAGAAAAAGTGGTAACAGACACAAAAAAAAATACATCATAGTAAAATTAATAGCATAAATAGCTAAAACATATCANGTGGTAACAGACACAAAAAAAAATACATCATAGTAAAATTAATACCATAAATAGCTAAAACATATCAAAAATATTATAATAGCTGTATAAATACTAGATAACAAAGAAAAAGTACCAGTTAATTAGAAACTAACACAACCATTGTCTTACAACTAACTAAAATACTGTATCAATCCTATAAATATACATTTTTACACAATACTAAAATTTGAGATCATTTCAAATTGCTCAACATGCATATCTTCTGAAGCAGGTCATATACTCACTCTGATTGACTAACCTAAGTTTGTTGTTAACTTAAGATTGTTTATGCTATAGTGCAAATAGCATCTATAAGCATAGGTATGTGTAATTTTGGATAATTTTCCTATTTAGAGTTATGTTAATAAAAAAATGTTTAACCTAGAAATACTTACTTTTTTTTTGACAACTTGGGAACATTCATTATGTTCATGTAATTGTTGAACCTCAGCCTCTTCTAATTCATTCACCTAATTAAAAAAATATATATATTTAAGTAACTTTAATTAATAAATTATTGCTACTTATTTCTAATGAGCTTTTTTATAAAAATAAGAGTCAAAAGGTAAATAATTTTTAAGCTTTATTACTATGTGCAAACCTAAAATTTTTGTCCTGTTTCTTTTAAAACAACAAAAATTTAAAAGAAAATTTTAATTAAATATATATTATGGAAGTAATAAGAGATGATATATAATTTTTAAGCCTATATTTAAGTATCATTGACATAGTAACTATTTCTGAAGAGAGGCTTTTGAACAGATTTTAAAAATAAGTTAGATTGTCGGAAAAAGACATACTAACCAAATAGGATGTCCCACAAAATTTACTAATTTTAATATTAGTTAATATAGTCAAATTAGTAAATCACAGTAGGACACCCTGTATAGTACTCATCTCTCATTTAGAAAATAAGGTCACCCATAAGGGTCTTAATCCATGATAATGCACTTCAGATGCTATTATAATACCGAATGATTCCTTAAGATTAATCTAGTAATTACAATTAGTTTAAACAATTAATTACTTGATTATAATTTAAGTTAATTGTTTCTGGTTGTGCGTTTATATATTCTATTGGCATTTTATTGGCATTTTCTTCAATATCCGTTTGTATAAGCTATTAAAATTAATACAGCAAAGAAAATATGAATAAAAAGATAAATCTATAAGATCTTAATCTTTTATGAGAAATAAGATAAAAAACAAATATTGTTTTTTTATTTATTAAGTTTACTAACTAAATAAATTTACACTTTTAAGTAAAAAATTAGTTAATTTTGTTGCAAAAATAGTTGGAATTACAACCCCGAGAAACTATGTCGTAAATAATAATATTAGCATAATTTATGTTCAATAGCTCTACACAAAAGAATAGTTAAATTGGAAAACTTTTGCTAACAATCTAAATATAAACCATTTACTCGTAAAGAGGTGATATCAGCAAACATTATACAAGAGCTGTAGACATACTAGGAGTTGTTGTTATTAAAATAGAAGAATTTCAAATCAAGACTATAAAATTAGTGAAACTCTTTGATGCAAACTAAAAATAATCCATGATACTATATACATGGTAAAAGTTGAGATCCAATAAAAAAAAAAAAAAAAATTTGTTGTGCCTTGAGCTACCTAATATTAAGAAGGATTATCAAGGTTTTAAAAAAATCACTTATTGATGAAACACTTGTGATCACTGCAACTAATAACAGTATGTTAAAATGACTACTAACAATATCAAATACTTGAAGTTTTAAAGAAATAATGAGATCTTAATATGGCATTCAAACATACAATTTACATAAAAATGTTTGCTTACATACTAGATTTCCAAGGTTATCCCAGAAAGTCATTAAGATTTTGAAAAAATAAAACTGGAATTAAAGAAAAATGGCTCATCTAATATGTATTGGAGGCATTTTTAAAATACTGACTAGATTCTCAGGCGTAGAAGAAAAAACTTTTTGTGGGCTTTGAAGTCAATGTTAGTAATAATATAAGGTAACTTTTTACAAAACTTAGAAGACAGGTAATTCATCTATTAATGGATAAGTAAGGCAGGACAAAAATAATACATGTGAGAAAATTAGACTTCAAGATCGATGAAGCGGAAAAAAACCCAAGCAGCAATAGCTATCAACTTCTTAAATAATTCAATAGATTTTACACAGAAAAACTTGTAACACAAAAAGAGAATCACTAAAATAAAATGTTAAAATGTTTGTTGTATCAGTTTTCCAAGAAATTTTTAAAGGAAAAACTTGATATTCTTTCATGTCACTAAACAAAGACTACTTATGAGAATACAACAAAAGTACTAGTGTACACAAAATCATATACATATTGAAAATTATATACTTTTACCTAACTCCCTACAATAATTCAACCTATATGATTAAAAGTTTCACACATTTCTTTTAATCATAAAAATTTGTTCAGAATAATTTTATGCATTTAACTATACAATTCTTGATTATCACATTGTGTTAATACATTTTCATAAGTTAATAAAAGAAAATATCCACGCATCTAATAATCAAAGTAAAGAAAGACAAAGTAAGTAATTAAAGATTTTCATGATGGCACTAGACGCTGTGAATGTATATTGTGTCCAACTTATCTATCAAAAACCACTTTTTTTGTTGATTTTGTTGTTTTAAAGACTAGGTTTCAAAATTAAGAAAACAGAAATGACGGTTAATATATACTTCAGAATTTTATTTTTTAATATTAGAATATAATAATGATGTATCATGCATCATAATAATAATTTGTATAATTTTTTTTCTAAGTCTAATAATATGATAAAGTTCAGACCTACACTAATTTTTGTATCTTGGAAGGGTCCCAAAAAAGTTATTTCAGTATTTTTTTTTCGCTTTTATCAGCCCATTAAGCGCCATCGCAGACTCCTCAAAGAAGGAGGTTTCTTAACCATTTATACCAGTTATTTCAATATAGTAAAAACTAATCCTACTAATTTTTTATTTTTAATGCTCACTATACTATTTATAGATCAACTTTCCAATAAACTAAACTTAATGGTTTATTTAAACAAATTAGTCCACAAAAAATAATTGGAGACATCTCTAAACTATTATTCATAGATTTTGGATACAGCCAAACTTAAAATGAAGTAAAGTGAAACAAAATTAATTCGGACCTAATAGTCAGAACTTTGTTAAATTCAGAAATCTTACGTTATTAATATACATTGTTAGCATCACCAAAATAACAGAACCCTCTCACACAACGTAGATTTAGAATGCAGCAACCAAACGATGTTATAACCAACCACGACGAGCTCTAGTACCCTAGCAGTGTCGATGTGCATGTTAAATTTCAAATGTCACGCGCTCTAGTACATAGAAATAGTACTCATATATTTCAATTACAAGCCCGGAATTCATTTAAAATTCGACAACACTATTATAACCGACCACGACGCGCTCTAGTACATTAACATATAGGTGTAAAAGTAGAATTTCCAACGTTACACGCTCTAGTATATAATAGCAGTACCACCATACTATAAATACGCACTCTAGTAAATCATCGAATATTAAGTCTATAAATAATTATGCCATCTAAGACCAAAGATGTGGTAGAAATTCATATTTTGCATATTTTGATGTAATTATTCAAACATTGATATTTAGATATTATTACACTATGGAAATTTTTTTTTTTTCAAATTTCTCTTTTAAAAATAATATTTAATTAAGACCAGTATTTTTTAAAATAGTTTTGGTTAGAGTTTTACAATAGTTTTCGTCATCTCACCCCAAACTCGTGGAAATATTACAAAAATGACAATTTTCAGAAAAATTCATTTTTGCCCCTTAAAATATGAAGGAGATGATTAAAAACATTTATAGTCGTAGGCTAAATATTGATGTAGAACTCATGCAAATTTTAGATTTTAAATCTATTCACAGTAATTAGGAAAAATCTAAAATCTCATAATCCCGCCTTACCCTTTATTATTTGTTTTCAAAAATATTCTATTTCAAGAAGTTGATATTTTTTAAAATTTACTTGGGTATATATAATGTGAAAACAGTACTGAATGAGACATCTAGGACCAGTGCTAGCAATTGCATAGTCTGACTCGCACACGCCTAACTGTGGTTCTCTTAAGAAACCTAGAAGAATGGGCAGAGTTTAATTGAAACCGATTTTTAATTTTTAATGGATCAACTTTTTGTAAAAGAATACTAGTATCCAAAATGATAGTCAAGTACATTTAAACGCACAAATAATCTAGTGACTTGGTCTTGAATTGGAGAGTTTCTGTTATCTTAACTAAATTTAACATTTAAAATTAGCAAGAATAATAAAACAATTTGACTGGTAATCAAACATATATAAAATCAGTTTTTTAATAGAAGAAAAAAAGGTGCTGCAATTTACATTTGAACCATCTATACCCAATCAGTTCTTATGAATAACATTCCCTACAGAGTGGAAATCACTACATGTAGAGAATGGAATATTAACCACCTGACTGAAAAAGGAGGATTTGTAATGTATACAAATGGATCCAAAGAATCAGGAAAGGTAAGTACTAGCATTTGGGGTCTAAAGTCACGAATAAATGTCAGCATGTCATTGGGCACAACACCCTCTGTTTTCCAAGCAGATGTGATGGCAATACTGGTAGGGGTTCNCATTGGGCACAACACCCTCTGTTTTCCAAGCAGATGTGATGGCAATACTGGTAGGAGTTCAAAACTTGCTGGTACAAGAATAGAAAAATAACTACCTTAAGTGACAGTCAAGCAGCTTTGAAAGCACTTTGTAATGATCAGGTGAATTCAAAGCTTGTCCTCAAATGCAGGGAAACTTTAGAATCACTATCGAGAATCAACAAAGTTATACTAGCGTGGGTACCAGGACACAACGGTGTCATTGAAAATGAAAATGCAGACTTTCTAGTCAGGAAAAGAGCAAACAACACCTATGTTGGGCCAGAACTAGTGGTAGGACTCACTGAGCAATCACTCAAAGCACTACCCAAGAATTGGTGCAGAGAATAACACAGGAAAATCTGGAAGTACTTGGTAGTATCTAAACAATCTAAAATGTTTATCAAGACCCCCCGTCTACTGCTGGGTGATCTGAATAGCATGACTAGACATCAAATAAGCACTTTGACTGGTTTACTGGCAGGACATGGTCACTTGCTTAAACATCTTTACGCAATGGGGTTATCGGAATCACCATTGTGCAGGAAGCGTGGAGTAGAAAAGGAAGACTCATTTTACATTATGTCCGAATATGAAGCCTTGTCCACACTAAGATCAAATGACTTGAGTAAACCTTTTCCTGAAAAAGAAGATATTAAAAACCTAAGACCTAGAGAGATACTTAATTTCACCGAAAAGACAGGACTCTTTGATCATCCATAGGGGAGACTTGATGTATAAACTTGTTTATACTCCATATGTCTTTACTTTTTTGCCCAGCCCAACTACGATCTCAGCTGAAAAGGCAGCACAACAAAAAACCACCTTACAGATGCTTACTTGTACAGATATTAATATATTGTATACTAATTATTTTAGTCTCTAATCCCCTTATATATATGTGGGCACTGTTGATGTCTAGATGGTACTTCTACCAGAGCCTAGAGGTAGGTAGCAGTATCATACAGTATAAATATTGGGTAAACTTGAATCAAGTGTCAGCTAAGACGTGTTTTTGTTGTTGTATTCATTTAATTCATACATGTTAATATTTGTAAGTGTTTTATTATAACATTTGTTTATATGATTGGTATTATATATATTGTAAATAATTTTATACTTTGTTTATTATAATAATCTAAGAGGAAAAACTATTATTTTAGTCGTGTTGTTTGTTAATATCCCATATACAGTGTTTAGTAAGTAAGAAAACAGGTCAATTAATATAAACAATGAGAACAATAAAAATCCATTTCCTTACTTACTGAACACCCTATATATATAATATAAAGAACCTTAACACTAAGGTTTATTGTGGAGATATAGTTTACTGAATACTAGAAATCTAATCATAATGTAATTGCATTACATTATCAAATATGTATATACCAAACTAATAGTCCAGTTGATAATTTTTATAGTGATTAAAACTCTATATTTATAATATATTACTTGATTTTGACTTAAGTTAATTATTTCTGGTTGTGTTTTTATACATTCCATTGGTATTTGAGTATTTTCTTCCAGAGTCTCTAGCATAAACTATTAAAATTGATAAAATTAATAAAACATTAATAATAAATAAATACTTTCAAATACAAAAATTGCTTTTATACATTTATTTCACTATTACAACAAAATAAATAATTTGATTGATTTATTATCTTAAACTAGGCAAGTAAACAGAAAATATATTACCTGATTTTGATTTAAGTTAACTATTTCTGGTTGCACATTTAAATTTTCTATTGGTATTATTGCAGAATTTTCCTGCATAGTGTACTGTATTAGCTAAAATATTTATAAAATAAACAAAATGCTATTTGTTAGATAATTTTAAAATTCAAATAAATCATACATTTAATTTATTATTAAAACAAAATAATAATTTTTTTTAACTGGCCTCTATGTCCAATATACAATTAATAGTATATTGGATGCATAGGCCAAAATAAAAAAATAAGGATAGTAAATTAAAGATACACTACCTGATTATGATTTAAATTTACTGTTTCTGTTTGTGAATCTATATTTTTCATTTGTGTAGCAGCATTTTCCCCTATAGCGTTCTGTTTAAACCATATAAGATTTTAAATAAAGTAAACAATTATGATTTTAAGAAAAATTGCTAAACAATAGTATTATTTTTTTGTTATATACATCAAACATAAAAAATGTATCATTTTAATACAATAATGAAATCATAGATATATGTAGAATTCAATTTCTGGCAATGCCTGATAAAAATGTACACTCTAATACATGAATATTGCCGCTATTTGAGTTTAAACCGGGTAGAATTTATGGAAAGGGTATCCTCTTTACATCATAGGTGGAAATAAAATAAAATAATTGAAGGAAAGCTACTGAAATATTTTTCCTCTATCCTAAATAATGTTTTAAAACACAATTACTAAAATTTTCTTCATTTTGAAAGCTGAGTCATCCAAGCCCCCATAGAATTCAGCCAATTGTTTTACATCCAGTCACACAAAATGTATTATTTATATTGTGCATTACTATAAACAAATATTTTTAGTGAAAGAAAAATTAAACTTGACCTCTGCCTTATATTTTAGTTCATATTGCTCCTGTGTAGATGCTAAAATTATTAATCCCAAGATGACTCCCCCACATCTCTCTAGTCTTGTAACATAGTGTACAATTAAGTTTATTAATAAAATAATAACAATATTATAACATTTTAAATAATGATATCTATAGTATGATAACTTAATTTTTGTCATACTAATGGATCTAATCCTGATGATACAATTTACTATGCCTCTTAAATATTTTTGTTAGTGCCTAGTAATAGTTAATTATTATTTAAAAATTCAATATTTGGTATAAAATTCACTTAAGAAAACAACATGTGATACAATATTTTTCAACATTTTATACAAAAAAAAGTAAAAGCAATAATTACCAGGGTCAAATCTCTTTCTTGAAAAATTCTGGGTATTGCAGAATGTCTTCTATTAATATCATTTTGAAACTGATCTTCATTATTTGTAGTTATAATTTGTTCTTCTAAATATCATAAAATTTCCATTAAAAACTTTTTAAATATGTTTATAAAATGATTAGACAATTAAGAAATTATTATATGAATAACAAAACTGAGTTAAAAGGTAACAGTGGGGAACACTTCTACTACACTGAAACATAAAGAATCTTATTTACTTGCCAATGTTTATGATTAAAAAAAATTCTATATTTTATTTTCATGTTTGCATTGTGTTCAAAGGATTATTTTTTAAAAAAATAAAATAAAATAAATAAAGTTAACAATATTAAGATACCTATTCTTTTAAACTTAATACAATAGTTGATACATGAAAAATTATCTATGGCTGCATATTCCTTCTATAACTTTATACCTATGAATAACAGTGAAGACTACCAAATATTAATAACTAATATACCCTGACCAGCAGCTAATCAAAGCATATCATTTACTTGACTAGGAAAAAAATATTTAAATATTTTAATAAACTCTAGCAGTCAATTTTTTAATTTCACAGACAATTTTAAGTTTTTTTGTAATTGATTAAAGATGGTTCAATAACAAAGAATATAAACAATATTCTTTATTTTATTTATATTTATTTTATTTTATATATACCTTCATTTTTTCTTGAAATTTTTTGTTTCTTTGGTTGTGTTTTTTTTATTCTCTTTGGTTTATCAATCCTAATAATGCATAAATTCAAGTAAAACTATAATTGTTGTTAATTAAATACATGTAAAAGTTTTATTTTCAAAGCAGTAAATCACAAAATATATTTTTGAAATTTTGGATATTAAAATAATTTTTAGTACATTTATTAATATCTTTAACAAATATCATTGATTAAAACTAAATTTAATTTAATTCATTGTTAATTACTCAAAAAAAAAGTTAATGTCTTAATGACTACAGTTTTCGCCATTAAGATACTTATATATATAAGTATTACAAACAATTAAATTAAAAAATATATTTGTTTAAATTTTTACTCAAGTTTTTATTTAGCTCAATTTAAAAATGTGTTGATAAATTATAAAACGAGAACTAATAGTGTTAATGTCTAAATAGAATTAATATGCAAAACTTTGATTACCTAAAATATTAAAATTGTAGAACTTATATTTGTTTATTTTTTAGAAGAGTATATTAACTTACATCACTTTTGATTGAAATAAAAACATAATTGATTTCTGGCACAATTCTATGTAAAAAATTAATAAAAATATTAGTATATCATAAATAATGAACAAAAGAAAAAAATAAATTTCATATCTACAATACATAGTCAAATAATTTAAATTTAAACTTAAATTTCATTATAATTATAATTATCTTCAAATATGTTATCTTCTTGTAAAAATAGAACTTACTAAAAAAAGCTTCAATTGAATTTTTATAAAAAATGATTAAACCAAAAAATGTTTCAGCAATCATTAAAAATGGATACTTCTTTTCCTGGAAATTATTTTGTACAAATCTTGGTAATCTTCTAGGTGACATAGTAATATCCTCAAAATTATTTAATAATATAATCAATTTTCCACTAAAAAATAAAACACAAAAATATATTGTATAATATATAAAAAAAGTAATCATAGTTATCCCAAAGCTGAAAATATGGAGGTATGAAAAATTGATTTTTGCTGATTGAATAATTTTTCAAAATTGTATGACTTATTTTATACATTTTTTTTTGGTAGCATCCTTTTATATTAAAGAATTACTGACTAAAACGATTACATTTTAATAAGGAAATGGTTTCGCCTCACCATCACCAACACGAGACGTCCATGATTAAATTAAATGTTATATAACTTTAAAAGAAAAATTAAAAAATTTGTGAAAAATAAATAGTTTCAATTCAATAGTACAAACTCTATCTCGCTTATTTTGCTATAATATTTCTTACCATACAGTAACTACATCTACTTTTTCATAATCTTCACTTTTATCAAAGTATCTTTTAAGAAAATGTTCATTAATAAAAGTTTGATTAGGTATAGTTAAAATTCCTTCCGGATCAACTGAACGAATCATTCGATAAAAATTTAAATTATAAGAATCCATTTTATTTAAAAGTAAACACTAACGATTAAGAGAAACGTTATCCTCCAAGGTGTGGAAGGGATAACAATAGACGAATGACTGATGAAAATACGGAGGCTAATTACACGTGTGTCTCCTGCGTCCAAGACAAATGATAATGTCTTAAGATTACGACTTCACGGTAGGAAGAGGGGAGTATATTATTTTTTATTTGTTTTTAGTTATTATAAAATCACGGACTTAAGGTATTCAAACAATATAAAATCGTCGACCCTCACTATTAATCTAAAATAACAGCTAAATTCAATTTATGACAATTTTTAATTAAAATTATGACAACTAATAACTGAAACTCGTTATTCCTAAAATAGATATCAAAATAAAAGTTTTAGAATATTAACAAATATTTTACACAATACATATAATCTATCAGGATGAATAATAAGTAAATCGAAATCTTAAATTGTCCGAGTTTATTTTTAATTCTATTATTAGCTTCGATGCGAAGCTGAGAAGATATTAATTTTACTATAATGTGTTTTTTTTGTGTCTGTTACCACTTTTTCTCACCGAAGAATTGGAACCCAAAGCTCGCACTCGTTATTTCTAGGCTCCGTGAATTTTAGCTTCGATGCAAAGCTGAAAAGGTATTAATTTTACCATGATGTGTTTTTTTTTTTTTATGTCTGTTGTCAATTTTTCTCAGCTCTCACTGGACCGATTTCTCTCAACAATACGTCAAAACATCACAAATCGTATCTAGTTGAAGACATTACCCTCAAAAATTTAAATAATTTCCCTCGTTCCCCGTAAATGGGTGAGATCTCCAAAAAAATTACAAATTTAAAAATCGCTAATTTTTGATATTTTTTCCATTTTTAGCTTCGATGCATACCTGAGAAGGTATTAGTTTTACTATGATGTGTTTTTTTTTTTGAGTCTGTTACCACTTTTTCTCAGCTCTCACCAGACCGATTTCTTTTAAACTATAAGAATGTTGTTTGTTTGTTTAGCAGTTGTGCAAAAGAGTGGTGGTATTAACGAGAATTTAAGACACAGAATTAAGTGCGGGTGGTTGAAGTGGAGAGAAGCGTCTGGCGTCTTATGCGATAAAAGAATTCCAATGAGGCTGAAAGGTAAATTCTACAAGACTGTAGTGAGACCAGCTATGATGTATGGTTCAGAATATTGAGCGATTGATAAGAAAGTAGAGCAGAGATGAGAATGCTTAGATGGATGAGTGGAGTAACTAGAAAAGATAAAATAAGGAACGAGCATATAAGAGGGAGTATAGGTATAGCATCAATTATGGATAAGATGAGAGAAAATAGACTTAGATGGTTCGGTCATGTTATGAGAAGAGAAGAATCGGAAGCTGTAAAAACAGTTATAGAAATAAATGTTGAAGGAAGATGAGATAGAGGAAGACCAAAAAAGATATGGAGGGATGCTATTGAATGCGATTTGAGGACAGCTGATGTGAGCGTAGATGATGTGGGAGATCGTGTCAAGTGGAAGTTTAAGATAAGGGTGGCCGACCCCAAGTATTTGGGATTAAGGCGAACAAGAATATAAGAATGTTGTTTGTTATGGTTTCTTAGCATCCCCAAAATTTCGTTCCTAGTTGCACCTATGATTCATAAGCAAATTATTATTACCAAATAAGAAAAATTTTACTTTACTAATGAATTATTTTCATTTTGGATAGGGATGCTCATAGACTACAAAATCAAGAAAATTACCTTTTTATACCTTATTCAACTAAAGCTATAATTTCAATAACTAAGACTGAGTCCCGGGATTCCTCTTCAGTGGCGTATTTAGAAGATTGTTGTATATCTTTTAAGACGTATACGGACGTCCCACCCAATCATACATAGGTCTCTCATAAATACACTTTTTTTCTCGTTGGTATATTTTTAAATATAAACAAATTCGGTTATCCAATGAGAAAGAGAAATTACTATCTGATTTATCAAAACAGTTCCCCAAAATTTAGGTTTTACCCAACTGCCTGTTTGCCTAGACTGAGTTATGGCCCGTAATGGATCCAGTCTATGAGTATGACTCTAAGTTATAATTATAGTATGTTCTTTCAGTTAATAATGTCTTTTCAAAGAAATTTATGCTGCCATATTTTTTTAATGCAATGTTTTCCTTAAAAAAAAAACATTTTAATTCAAAATAATTTTAATAAAATATTTAAACAATAGCATCGTCCACTATTTGTTAAAATTATGATAGTTATCAACATATAATTAAATTTATACCAATGAAAATGAAGGATGATTAATTATATCATGAATCGCTTATTTAATCGAAAATATATTTTTTCTTTTAGTTATATACTTTTCTAATTTTATTATTCGTGAAATTTATTTATGTTCATCCCTTATAGCTTACAAGAAAGTATCGACTTTGTTACTTCTAAATGGTAACATATATAATTAACTAGCTTAATATAATTAAAATTATCAATCATTGGCGCCTGCAGGAAATTTATCAGGGGGGGCCAAAAAAAATTAAATACCAAAAAGTAACATTAAATAAAGTGTTTATTAACTGAAAATTGCAAAATATATATATTCATGAGTCATTACTAAATAAAAATTGAAGTCTTCGCGGATGTGTCTGTTGCAAATTTTGTTATTAACTGTTAAATGAATTGATTTTTGCTTGCCTTAACTTTTTCACGATGTACACTTAACATACATAAACCATTTAATCGGTCTTCACTTCGAAGCCAAGTTTTTACTCTTCGTAATGTCCTAAAAGTACGTTCTGCAGTGCAGCTTGTAGCTGGTAAAGATAGGAAAATTTCTAATGCAATTGTAATACCGGGTAAAAATATTTCACTATGTTTTAGTAAATCTATAATGTCCATGCTTTGAAAATCTTTTTTTTGTCAATAAACATACCAACTTTCACCTTCAACTAACAAATTTTCAATTTTATAAAAACTATGAATGTTTGTTAAAATTTCAACGTACTTTTCTTTTTTCATTTTTTTAAATAATGCTGGATGAAGGTGTTGTAATGAAAAAGCAACACTATTACCTTTTTCAAATCTTTCCTTGATAGATTGTATTATTGATTTGAGATATGGTACAAAAACCGATACTCTATAATAGTCTTCGGGAGTTTCACTTGGATAGTTATTTCTATGTAACTGTTTTCCGGTAATTCTGGGACAAGTAATAGTAAGATCTAAATAATTTGCTATACATTTAGCGTTAATAAATAATAAATTAAAGCTTTCAATTGCATTTATTCTATCACTTTCAAACATTTCCAATAATGTCTCCACATGTTCCCGAACTTTATAAAGTTCTATTGATTCACCTTGTAAAATATTAGTAACAGGTTCCAAGATAGCGCTGTATTTTGCAATTATAGTCATTGTTATTATAAATAAAAAATTTGAGGCTGAGGAATATAAATAAAAATCACGTTGTCTTGTATTAGCATTTGTCATATCATTTATGGATAAAGATTGGAGACTTAGAATTATTGTAATAAAATTTTCAGAAAATACTCTAATACTTTTATACTTTGAAGACCAACGTGTTTCACAAAATAGTGGTATGTTAGGTATTAATTTTCTTCGAAGTGTACTTTCACGATAAAATTTAATAATTTCTTTTATTGTGCCTGTAGTATTACGAATAACTATAATTTTGTTTAAGTCATTAATAACTAAATTTAATCGATGACTAGCACAATGAAAAAATAAAGCTTTGGTATATCGGTCTCTAATTAGTTTAGCAACACCACTTTCTTTTCCAGCCATTGTAGCACAGCCATCATAACCTTGTTCACAAAGTTTAGTTAAATCAAGACCACAATTCACCATAAATGATAATATTTGAGTAGCAACCAATTCTGTACCTAATTTACATAAGGGTAAGAAGTCTAGAAATTCTTCTCGTATTTTAAAAGGATTTGACCGTTTGTCTAAAAATCTACAATTGTCAATTGCTCAACACCAGAAATATCTGCTGTTTCGTCGGCAATGATAGAAAACGCATTTGCGGCATTGGCTTCACACACTATATTTTCTTTTAATATTTTCCTACACAATGTTATTAGTTCATTTTGTGTTCTATGAGATGAATATTTAGCATTTCCTGCACAGCTTAAAAAATGATTTTTTAACATCTCATCGCCTGAATCAACACGAAAATGTAGAAGATCATGAAAATTACCTGAATTTGTTTTTTCCCTCGCAAAGCAATGTCATGAGTTCCACAAAACACAATGGTTAATACTATGGATTTTAATTTTTTTCTGTTAGTTTCTATTTTTTTTTGTAGTCTAACATTTACTTGTTCAATCACACTAATTTTTTTATCATTCATAATATCCATAAAATCTTTAGCTTTAGACATTGATTCAGAATGCCACTTTGAAGATATATGTATTTTAGAAAAGTTATGAAAATCCTTGAACTTAGTAAACGGTTTTATTATAAATTTACTTTGTACACCTCTGTGAATAGATGGCTTAAACAGCACACATACTCTACAAAAAGCTCCTTTCGCATCCTCAACTGCTGAATAAGTTAACCATGAACTGTTTTCGTGCAACCAATTGTGCCTAAATGCACGAGTATTGCCTGGTTTCAAATCACTTTTAAAGTGATAATTAGTATTGGGTACCCAAGGATGACACAAAAGTTCGAATTTCAAAGAATTGTCAATATTTTCTTGATTTAAATATTTTTCAATATCTTTTTCATCCGTTATCCCATCACTAATAACATTACTTTTTGTATTTATAACAACCGAAGTACTTTCAACTTCACACGATTCTGTATTATTTATTTCAATTACTGAAGTTGAGGATTGATTATCAGAATCACAGAACTTAGGTTTTTTGAAAAAATTTATGATGTCCATAATAGTATAATATTAGACAGTCGACTATATAAATATAAAACTAACTATAAAAATACTTATAAATGTATAGTATAGAACGTACTATATTTAGGCAGCTTTGTTTGTGTGTTTCATTGAAGGAAGCGTGCTGACAAATAAAACTAGAATAGTCGATCGTCATTCGTCGTACGATTATGGAATTTCCGTACAAATTGATAAAAACCTTTCAAATATACTAGACAATAGCCGATAGCCATCGGTCAACAATAATGTAACGGCATATGACGATGAAACCCATTAAGTCAATAAAAATAAATACATCTAGAAACCCGGTTAGATTTTTTTGTTTTATAAATAAAATTTTAAGATTATACAAATTTAAATCAGATTGGTTATAATTTTTAAAAATGTATTTCCAAATATTTTAAATACTGGTCAAGAAGTTGTTATTTACCCTTCATTTTCTTACTCGGGTCGTTATCTAATAAATAAGCTAGTCAATTATGTATTTTACTATTTGCAAAATAAAGTTGACACCCTTATAATGTATAAGGGATGAATAAAACAAATATTTTATGATTTATATATTAAAAAAATTATGTAACAAAAAAAAAAATTGTCAACATTATTTTTATTTTTTGATTAATTAAATGGTCCATGCTAAAATAATTACTTTATGTGGATATATTGTTTTATAATATTATTTATGATAATCTTACAATTAAGTTAGATACTATTTATATAAATTTTAATTTTATTTTTATATTTTAGATTAATCAAGGACATAATGCAGCTATTTTAGAAAAAAACTCAATAAACATATGTATTATTTTCTTGGTAAAAAAATCCATAAAATCAAATTATCATTTATATATATTATTACACACTTTATTGTTAAAAGTAGAATGTTTTCTAATAAAAAAAAATATCATAATAAAATAACTAATGCCAATTATAAATAAAATTATATATATTTATTATAATTGTACAAGAAAAGTGTTTAACTTCTTACTCTGTAGTATTATATAATTACTCTCAACTATTTTATTACTATTACTCATTATTAAGTGAACACATTATAGCACCATACATTTCAACATTAGTATTTTAAAAGCTTCATTCAATTTTTTATGATGTTAACCTAAATAATTATCACACTAAGCAGTAGTAAAATTTTGAGCTTAATAACTTTTTAAATAAAGTTGAGCTTTCAATATATATAATTTATTGTTTATAAATCACCCTTATGTTATCATTTTCATTCTTCCACGTTTAATGTTATTTTCCTCTAAATCTGGTTTTAAAATTGGTTCATACGTATTTTTATATTTTTCAACAATTTTTTTAATGCTACTTTTCACACTTATTTTCTCTGCATTTCTTTTTAACACAAATATTTGTGGTTTAGTTTTAATCTTTACAGGTGGAAATTGATTATAATTAAAGTTAATATTGGAAAATCCTAACACAGTTGTAATTACTGTGTGAGTATGACGATATGGTAACATTTCTCCATTATCTCTACTGCTTGCATCAACAATTAAGTGAGTGAAAGACATAAGTTCCTCACATCCTGCTTTAAGATTTTCTGTTTTTTTATAACTAGATGAAAAAAAAAATTAATTTTATTAAAATTATTTTATTTTACTTAAGTAGCTTACATCCAATTATTACTGAGTTGAGTAAAACGTGTAACACCCGTTTGTGCAGCAAGATTTCCAACATGAATTGAATAATTGGCATTTACATTATTTTCAAATTTATGTAATATTGTTATTGCTGTACCACCTGGATAATTTTTCATTGCTGCGCTACTTAATAATATGGTAAAAACTATATTTCCAATTATATGACCAGCACAAAATGCCAATGCAATTAAATTGATTAATCCTTTAGGATTCAATCTTGATTGCCATCTACAAAATATCCATGATAATGTTTAATACACAAAATGATTGAATAGAAAACTGATTTAACTCACATCCTGTGACAAAATGCTGCAGTGGAAACATTTAATACTGGAAAAATATAAATTATGAAACGTAACTCTTTATGTGGTAGTATAGAATACAATATAACAAAAATCAATGCTGGTATAATAAGTCTTGTAATTCGTATATCATAAATCATGCCGAAAGGTACCAAAAATAAAGAACATCCTAAACCACGTGGTATTGCTGAATAAAAATACCATAAAAATGGTGAAGTCTATAGAAATATCAAGTCAGGAATTTTATTATTTTTTTGCAAATAATACTATTAATTAGGAATAATTATAAGTATAATAAAAAATTTGTTTTAGTTAAACAGGATGATTTGTTTATCATATAAACCACTTGATTATTCTTAAAATAAATACAAAAAAAAATGTACACTCCTATAATTTATAAGGGACGAATCTAAAAAGTAATTATTAGCTGATAAATAATAAAATATATGTAACAAAAAGAAGTCAACATTTTTTAATATTATATTTTATTTATTTTGTGAGTAATTTTGTGCACTGTATATTATACCAATAAATAATTATATACTCATTTAGTTTTTATGAGCATACTATTAGCAAAAGTATATATCAAAATTAGAAGTTTATCATATTCTATTATCATTCAAGTAGTAATTTTTAAATTTAGTATTAATTAATATATGGATCAGACTATTCATAGTAATAAATTTATAAATAATTTATTAATAATTACAGTTAATTAGTCAAAATATTTAAAAGGATACACCCCACTGGCTGCTTTTATTCAGTATTGTATTGAACCATAATACTTCACCTTCTGGCCATAATAAACGACCCCAAAATATAGAATCAACAGCTGCATTTAGTATAAGAATAGTTAGTAAACATAGACATCCAAGTTTCAATAATCTATAGATAATATATAATCAATAGTCAGAAATAAACTATAATAATCTCAAATTATTATAAAATAAATACAAATTTAAAAATACCTTAATACTCCTAGACGGCTATATAATAATTCTATTAATACAATAACTCCTAGATAAATAACTAGCTCTGATCGAAAAACCAAAACAGCAACGCCAGAACTCCATATGAGAATAGTATGATTTCCTCTAATCCAAGAACTTAATGCTACCATAACTATAGTTCTAACAAAAACCATCATACAATAATTATTTTTAATAATATGATTTATTAAGCTAAACATTTAGCCATAAAATCAAAATCACATAAATTCTAAACTTAATCAGTTTAATGCATAAATACAGATTAGAAATAATAAATAATAAATATTAAAAAATATTAAATATTTTAGAATTAATAATCCTTTGTTTCAGTAAAAAAATTAATATTATATGGTTAAATTATTGACATAGGTGTGATTAAAGAAACTACACTCCCTCAACAATTTTTTTTGACAATTCTATACAGAGTGAACAGTATATTATGAACCACTCAATTACTCATAAAATAAATACAATATTGAAAAAAAAAATTTTTGGTTACATGTATTTTTTGATTAATCAGCTATTAATTACTTTTTAGAATCATTTCTTATAATTTATAGTGGTCTCAACTTAATTTTTTTCAAATGGCAACATACATAATTAATTAGTTTATTTAATGGAAAATTATGGGCCAATTGTATCTTTTGGCCTAATATTCTAGAAGTTATTTTTATTTTTATATCGAGGTAGGAGGATGAGAGGTTATAAATCAGTTCTTAATTAATTTCGGGCTGATTTATAATGTGGTTATGTGAATTATATAGACAGCGTGAGCCACCCTGAAGTAATGCTTAATGGCAGTTCCAGGGTGGTCCACAACAATGTGGCGGTAAAAAAAAAAAGAAGGATGAGTTCAACAGAGAAATGACTATTTACTTAAATAGAATGTTAATAACTTACAAAATACTGATTCAAAAATTGTTATTGACCAGTCATTTTCTTAATTAGATCATTTTCTATTAATTAAACCAATTAATTATGTATGTTTCCATTTGAAAAAATAATTGTGCACCTCTTTAAGTAATAGGGAATTATTTTAAAAAGAAATTAATAGCTGATAAATCAAACATTTTTTTTCAATATTGTATTTACTTTGTGGGTAATTGAGTGCTTTATGATAAACTGATTACCGTGTACATTTTTATATAAAAGAAAATTAATAGATTATTACTAGAGATTATTTTCTAGTTGCTCTTTATTATTGATAGTTAAATGAACCACTAATTTAAGAAGCAATGTAAGTTATAAAATTTTGAAAATCGAGTTTTTAGTAATAGTTTAAAAATGGTTTTTTTACTGTTTGCTAAAAGTTTAATACTTGGACATCATTTCTTTAATAAATGGTTCAAATATTTTCATGATTTACTGACCTAAAGGAAATGCCAACATATTTGGAAGAGGTCTGCTTGAATAGAACATCAAATGATATTGAGATGCAGTTATAACAATAAACCATCGAGCTACCCCTTTACCAAACACTTTTTTAATTGATTTTTGAAAATACTTGATACTCGTGATAACTATTGCTCCAAGAACTGCACGGACTGTGAATTTTTAAAAAATTTAAATGAAAATATTTAGTAGCATAACAAATTTTTATTTTATCAATTAATTATAACTTCTGGATACTAAAATTACCATAAACAAATTAACTTAAGTTAATAAAGAACAATCATTGGTCCCAATAAAAATAAAAGTTAAACAACACAAAAATAAAATAAATTAGTTTATTATTCATAATTGATTTCCATTATAATTTTAGAACCAACATTGGTTGCCAAAAGTGAAATTGAGGTGGCTCAGAAGTAATTAAAATGTGATTCAATTAAAATTAATTTTAAAACATAATTGAAAATCAAAAATTTGTTAGTATAGATGTTTATTGATGATATAATTATTATTCTTTTTTTTATTGATAGTTATTATTAATCACTATAAAATTATAATTTATTTTTTTTGTAATTTATTACTATTTTTAACTTCAATGTGAAGCTGAGAAGGTAATGTGTTTTTTTGTTGTATCTGTTGCCACTTTTTCTCAGCTCTCATTGTGCAATTTATTTCAATGGTATGTCAAAAGAACACAATTTTAATCTTGTTGAACTTACAATTACCAAATATTGGAAAGAAACCCTTTAATTTTTAATTTATTTTTTGGATCCTTTTAAGTTGATTTTATGAAAATTCATAATTTTAAATTGTTCAACTTTAAAACACTTGTAAGTTTAGAATTTATATCATTAAATAGAAAATTTTTTATACTATATCTTATAGTATTCTATAATACATTGATATTGAAAAATATACCGTGCCTAGTTTCACTTATGATTTCGCCCGTTGTTGTGTCGTTGAATTTCTTTGTAATCTATACAATTTTTATATGTTAATACTCGCTTTTAGCTAATTATTAATAATATCAAAACTTAGCGGTGATAGAAAAAATCTAAATGCAGATTTGAAATCAGCATGAAAAATGGGTTTATAAAAGTATATTTTTGACCCTGATAAAAATTCCTTGTAGACCATTTATTCATTATTAACCACAAATTATCTTCTGAAAAGTTTTGTATCAAGCCCTTCAATATTTATACACGTTTGCCATAAAAGTAACAGTTAATTAATAATTTCTCTGCAAAAATTATAGAACTAAATTGTTAATTATCAATTTCATACTATATTTAATTGCTATAATAGATAATTAATTATATATTATAGAATCATAGAACAACTAATTATGAATAATGAATGAAATAGAAGTTAATTTTGCTTTTGGAATAATATACCAATTTCTTAAACTATTCAAGAATAAATTAACACATACCCAAAATCTGACTGTAAAATTTGTTGAATTCATAAAACTTAAGAATTATGAAAACTGGATATGCTAAAGCTGATATCACTAAAGGTCCTATAAATGTTCGAGGTACAACACCGGGAAACTCTAAATGATCATACTGAAAATTTAAAAAAAAATATTTAAATTTTTTTTATTCTTTTAATTCTTTTTAATAAAAAAGAACATTTAATTTATTTTCTAAGATAGGGTCAAACTTATCACATCCCTTATAGTGGTTTTTGTCAGAGCAATTACACAGCTTTACAATCTTTTAATAAGATTTTATTAATAAAAAAATTATGAGTATTCATGGCTTTAAACAATTAAATTCCAACAAAACGTGTTGGAAATAAATTGTTTAAAAATTTAGTTTTATTGAAATGAAGCTGCCTTGTAAATGCATTGACATTTGAAATAAAAAATGTAGTTTTATTAAATTGATATACTTGTGATAGATTCCCTTTCAAATATAAAATATCATGCATTGCTTGTATGTTAAAACTCTCTTCAACTTTGGTAAATGGACATAAAGTGAGATGCACAGCAGAGACCACATATAAAATGTTTTCCATGATATGAAATAATGAAGAAAATTGATTTGATTATATAATTGTTCACATCAGTGCATCATTGACGATTATAGTTCAAGGTGAATCAAACTTAATTCTGAAAAATAACACAAATGGCTATAAATTCAAAAAATCCAACATAAACTTATAAAAAGTTGTTTTTATAAATTACTGAACAAATTATACATGAAACTATTAAAATTTTTTTTTTAACAAATGTCAAGATAGTTAAGACTATTTCATGATAAATAAAGATTAAACGAATTACCAGTAATTATTGTTCTCGCATTTTTTTAAATAAAATTAATAAATAAATGTACTAGATGAGCAAATTTAACAGTTAACAGCCGGTTAAAATTTGATTGCGCATATCGTATTGCGTATTATGGATAACGATTTTACCCTTAATTTCTAATCATAATATCATGATTATGGGCGTATAATATCAAATTTAGTAATGTGATAAGATGAAATACTTAACCATCTTAATCTCATTTCTAAGTACTTAACACTTCAAAATATTATAAATGGAAATAGAATTTGTCATTTTTATTAATATAGTAATTAATTAGTTACTATTAACATTATACTACTTAATATAATTATGTGACAATTTTAGAGTAAATCATTTTCCTGAAACGACTACGGGTGTGTTTGTTATGGAGCAAAATGAAAGACATTCTCAAGCTATTTACAGATGACAGAATTGTTTACTATGGCATTATTGCTATTTACTGTATATTCTTGTTCAATTTGATTGTTTGGGGGTGAGTTGTATAATTTTATAAAATATGTATTATTTACAGCTAACAAAGACTATTCTTATTTATTTTAAAAGTTCAATATTTTTAAAAATATAATAAAATATTGNATTTTATAAAATATGTATTATTTACAGCTAACAAAGACTATTCTTATTTATTTTAAAAGTTCAATATTTTTAAAAATATAATAAAATATTGTTGCTTATAATTTCTTGATACTGTTCTTAAAATTTTCCATGTGTTAAATATTAATAAAATAAGTTTTATTTTATTAATTTTAATATTTTATTCCTGATATATGAATATACTAATATTATAATGTAATTGAATATTCCTTGTAATTATTAAATTTATGATTATAGATTTTTTATCCATTTCTAAGGTTGTTTTAAAAAGACTTTCATTCCTTTATAAATTTTTGACTAAGACACAATTTTTTCCCTTTTGCCATTGACTATAAAATTATTTTCCCCCTTTTTTTATCATGAACATAATTAAAATAAATATTACTTGAAGTTGAAATAGTTTACTACTTTACTAGTTATTATTATTAATCTATTATGTTGTTATTTTCAAGGTATTTCAGTTTTATTATAATTCTTATCACTTTTGGTGGTGGATGTATTTCATTTGGGTATATTTTCAGGTAATTATATCAAGTTAATTTATTATGACTAACTTATATGTATATTATAACTTTAATTCAAGATTTAATCGTAAAAAGTTAGGCTCCTCTTATTTAAAATAGAAAATACTCAAAAATTAATTTTAATGACATTTTTAACAATAAGATTAATTTTTATATTGTTTTAATTTATTAAAAGAACATTGTTTCAGTTTTTTTTTAAACTAACTTCTCCTATATACCTTTTGTACAGTTTTTGAAAGATTAATATTGACTTTTTATTTTAAAAAAATTTATATTTTTAAATAAATTTCAGTTTGGTAAAATTTTAATAATTAATGAAAATACTTTTTACAGGAATCAAGTTAAAGATTATTATAGTCCCTCAAAGAAATTAGCAAAAAAAATTTGTTTCAAATGCAATAAAAATAGTTGTACTGCATCAATAAAATGTGTTAATTTACAATGTCCGTGGACAGGTTTAATGATATCAGAACAAATAGATTCATCTCTAGATAAAGTAAAGTATTTTCATGGTACACAACATTATGTCTTAGTAATTTGTAATATTTATTTTAGCTATTTTCCAAAATAACCAATGCTTATGTGACTAGTTGGTATAAAAACCTTTCTAATGACCAACATTTTGTTAAAGAAATTAAATTAATTATTAAATTTGCTTCAAGTGTCTTATTTAAAAGATTATTGCAGGTTAGTTCTTAAATATAAACAAAAATTAATATTAAATATTTTTAATATATTATATTATATATATTTTTAATATAATATTAACTATAATTTTTTTTATTAAGATTCTTTTTGATTTCATTTTACAGTTAGATTTTGGAAATATTGTTCTATATAAACTATTGCCAGTACTTCTATCCCATATAAGTGATTGTAAACAAATAGAAAGTGGTAAAAAAATGATTCATCATTATGCTGTATTAAATCGTAAAACTGAAATAAAATATCTAAGAAAATTGTCAATGAGTGTGATACCATATGTTTCACGTCAAAATGATTTTCAGTGCAAGTAAACATTATTTTGTTGCTATATAGATCAAATTTTTTTGGGGTATTTATTATAAAAATTTGTATTTCAGAATATTTTCAATTATCTCTCGAGAGTTACTTTCTCTCTGGGTATTATTACCGCTGTCTGATGTTTTATGCAATCCTCATAATCTCACTCTTGTTTGGTTAAATCTATCTAAAATGCCAATTTCAACATCAAATTCTGCATTGAATGATAAACAAGTTGAATATTTATTAAAATTTATTGCCAAAGAACCTCGTGACGCTGTTTATCTTGAGATGCGTAGCATATTTAAAGATTCAACAATTTTAAATGCATTTATGAAATTTTTAAAAAGTAAAAATTCTGTACATCTGTTACAATTTTGTATTGATGTTGATAACTTCAACAAGCGAATGTTAAAACCAGATATTTCTTCAGAAGAGCTTGATGTATTGTACCGAGATGCATGGGATATTTTTTCAGTATACTTTAGTTCCCATTCTCCAGATTGTATATGCTTTGATACTGAACTAGTAAGCCAATTAAGAAAAGTTTTATCAAAAGATGTTGTCAAACTTCAAAATTCAAAACCTTTATATCAAGCATATGAACAAACTTATTTAATTTTAGAGAGTAGTTATTGGGTTGAATTTCATAATTCTGATGAATATTTTTCGTGGATTTGTGGATCACGAAACATAACTGAGATAAATTTAGCCCATGAATCATCAATAAATAACGAAAACAAAAACTCATCAGCCAAGATTGGTCGTAAATTTAATAGAATTAGAGAAGCCTTAAAATCAAGTACAATATATGATGGTCAATTAGATTCATTATCTTCTGAAGGTGATCCAGAATATGGAGAAGATCTTATTGTTGATAGTTCCATTATCAATAATAGTGAAAGAGATTTAAGTACTTGGAATGTATTTGATGTGACTTCTACTGTAAAACTAGAATCCGGATCAAATGGAGGTCAATCATTAGCATTTATTATTTCAGTTGAAACACTCGAAAACAATGAAATCAAACAATGGTGTGTAGAAAGAAGACTTGCTGACTTTTACACCTTAAAAACTAAGTTAACAGAATTTCATGGAGTATTTTTAGATGCTCAATTACCGTCTAGAAGAATTTTACTCTACAAAGCCGAAAGTGATGATACTTATAAACTTTTTCTTAACCAACTCTTACAAAAGCCAGAACTTAAGGGATCTGACTTGTTGCACATGTTCCTAACTTCTGAAGAAAACTTTGAAGATTCAGAATCAGCTATTGGCCGTTTATTAAGAAAATCTATGCCTTTAAATTTACGTAAAGAAAAAGGTCAAAATTTAGAATCATTCATTTCAATTTTTATGAATTCAATCGAAACAAAATTAAAACAAAAGTAAGTATTCTAACATTTTTTAACCTAAAATTTATTAATATTATATTATGTTATTGCAGACATGAATGGAAAGATTTCAATGAAGAAGTTTCTAGTAGAAAAGTAATAACTGCTGAAAATCCACTATATAAAGATAATTTTAACATTATAACTGAAGAAGAAATTGATTTAAATATTTCTTCTCAAAATGTATTCTATCAAAATTATTGTATTAATGGACCACTCAGCTGTATAATATTTGTTGGTGTACAAATTTACAATTTTTCTAACACGATAGTTCAATTATTATTAGCAATTAAAGTTATATGTGGCAATTTTATTGACTCTATCATTCAAAAGCACATATCATTGTATTTAGCTAGATCAATTACACCGTCAAAAATATCATACTTGATTGATATTATTGAAAGTATGTAATAAATATGTATAATTAAGTTAATCAAAATTAATTTAAATATTTATTGTCGTTTAGATTCATTGTTTCCTGAGGATGGAGTGATTCAGAATAGTGAGAGCAAAGATATTACATTTGAACATATAATACAACATAAAAGAAATTCTGCTTTGTTACCATTCTACTCATGTATTTATAAATGCATTCAAAATAGTGTGATGAACAAACAACTATTTTACAGACTTTTAGATGTTATTTTCCTGGAAATATTTCCAGAACTGCAGAGTGCAAATTAATATGACCAAATTATGTTTAAGTTGTTTCATTTCTGTGATACTTTTGAGTGATAAAAATGATTTTCTGGATGTTAAAAATAAGGTATTTACTGATCAAATACTTAAACATTTACAAAATTATTCTTAACTTTTTTAATTATATCAATTTTCTTTTCTAAATATGACTATTGAATTTGACTTATTATGATAAAAATTGTACTATTTGTAAACATTAGTTGCTCTACATTAAAATAAATGGGCTCCAAAAAATTAGTAGTTAGTTATGAGGTATCTTTTACATAATGTAAATAAAGTGTTCAATTTTAAAGTTTGAATATAATATGAATATTAGGTATATAAGTTGAATATATTATATTCAACATAATGCTACCATAGTAAATATTTGTTTATGTATTTTTTTTCAAAAATTAATTTTTAATCTAGTTTGTATAAATTAGACAAGACTGTGATTTGTTATATTAAGATGGCTTAACTAGTTTTAGACCTGATTTATGAATAATAAATAAAAACTATTATAGAATTTCGATTGTCTAGTTATCAATAAAATAAATAAGATATTCTATTTAGGGTCATAGGTATAATAATTTTTCTTATCTTTTTGACTGGTAAAATAAAAATTAAGAGTGGAGTCAAAAAATTTCCTTTTTCTATTTATGTCTTCTACCTAATTTAAGTAATTAATAATATTTATTTATAATTTGTATAGCTGTATAATTTTCTATTTATTTTATTAAATTTAATTCATATTGAATTACATTTTGTGTCTCGTTTAGTTTAGAGTCAAACAATATATAGGTATTCAGTAAGTAAGAAAGCGGATTTTTATTGTTCTCATTGTTTATAACAATTGACCTGTTTCCTTACTGAACATTTTGTATATTTATCTACATTATGAATTATCAAAAATGCCCACATATTTAATTAAAAATACTTGTATAATAAATAAATATTTTTATTTACATTTGCAAAGTTAAAATAAATTATAATTTTATTAAATTTTTTACAGCCATATATGATTATTCCAGAATAAAAATCATCAGAAAATTTTTAATTATATATAAGGTTTAACATATGAAATATTTTGCAAGGAATTCCTAAAATAAAATGAGTGAGAATATTTTAAATATTATTAACTTATTAATATCAATTCATTTTTTATGAAACAGATTTATGTATATTTAAGTTATTTATTATCTAATTCATGAATTACACTAACAAGTATGTACTTGTTTCTTTTACATAATCAATTATTTTACTTTTTTGTTCCTTAAAGTAAATTAATATTAGTATTTTATCTTTTGCTAAAACAAAAAATTAAAAAAAATATATTTTTCCAATATTTTATTTAACTATTTCATACATTAAAAATAGTTCAAGATCAACTAATTTCCCCATTATTTATTACTCTTAAAACTATTGTTTCTAATTAGTGGTTACTCAACATCGTCTACAGTTTAATTTGTAAAACATTCGAATTATATTCTTAAGATATATAAATTCCTTTAAAATAAGTTGTTATTACAAAAAAAACAAATAATATTCTATGAAACATAATGTATTTTTTAAAATCATTTTTAGTGAAAAACTAAAGTAAATAGTTGTTTAATTATGCACTTTTTATAACATTTTATAACTCATACTTATGCATTAAAATTATTTTCATATAATGTATAAGAATAAAGGAATACTATAATATTGTGATGTATTTATTGAGATATTTCTGAATTCATTATTTAAAAATAGAACTTATGTTATTGGCAAATAAATAAAATAATAATATTTTATTTTTAAATATTTTTCAAATTTGGAATAAATATAATTAATATTTGAAATGTAAGTTAAAACTCAATAAAATTTTAAAGTCAATGTTCATAGATATCACCTTACAAACTATTAAATTTAAATTTTTATCCTGTTGATGGAAAATGGAATTTCTTTCTAATTATGCAAACTATTCATTGACATTTATGTGTTTGATTATTATTTTATAATATTTACATTGTTATTTTTTTCAATTTTGTATTATAATAAAAACATTATTTTATCATCATTTATTTAAATATAAATTATTTATTTTTTATATTATTAAAATTAATTATTTTATTTATTTTTTGTCTATACTAATGTAAATTTTACAATTAAAAACTTCAACTAGTGTTATATAACTTGAGTGTAAATAAATGGCATAAAGTATTCATTATTGACAGTTGATATAAACAATTTTTATTTGCACTGATTAACTATTTCAAGGATTTATATGAACTTAAACTTATTATGTTATTTTACTTTTATTAAGAATTTAATACTTATAATTGCGAAATTTTATATATCAATTCTACTATGCATCTAAAATCCATGAACCAATTTAAGACTTTCATAAAAATATTCCCAAGTTATTATTTTTTTCCTAAGAATTTTTAATGAATTTTTACTTAGTTTTAAAAATATTTTTAATACCAACCCATTAGTTGTTTTATTTTTCACTTTTCTACTACTTTTAATTAAATATTTAATATAGTTTTTTAATATTTCAATTTGTTGGGACCAATTAATGGTTAATAGAATCAAAATAACTTTATAACTAATTAATACTTGTGTATTAATTGTATCAGTAAAATATTTTTTCACTTTGAACACAGTTACTTTTTGTAGCATTATTATTATTTTTATTAGATGGCTAGCCAATAGTATACCCCCAAAAATACCTAGTGCAATAAATTGTAATACATAATATAAAGAAATGGAATATAAAAAAAATGTAAACAAAACAATTGATTCCTTTTTTTATTGAATGATGAATGTATATTTATAATTTTTTATGTGAATTATAATAATCCCATTGTATATATATATATATATGTTATATGAATTAAGTACTTTAATTTTATATAGATTATTTTCGTCAGTAGCCTTATTAATAAATATTATTTAAATATTTCAATTTATAAGTTTTACTAATAATTTGAGTTGTTTATTGCACTATATTTAAGCTTTTAAAATAAATATTTGATTGAAGTTCTTTGACAATTAAAAAATTCATATAATATAAAATTTCTTTATCTAATATACTTCAAAATCAACTGAAAAATTGTACTTTTATTAAATAAATGATTACTCTATCTAGGGTGTAGATTATAGTAACACAAGTCCAAAATACTAAATTTTTGGGGAAAAAAAATATAAACGTTTTATATTATTTTTGAATTTTCCTTTTTTTAACGTGATCAAAAAAATGAAAACAAATGATAAAATCTAAATATTTTATTTCACTCGTCATTTTAAATGTATGTAATTTATAAATAATTTTTATAGACTAAAGAATATATATTTTTGTTCAAAGGGACTTTTACCCAAGAACCGTCCAATTATAAGAACAATAATTTAATTTTTTGAACTCATATTTTATTGAAATTTTCAATGTTCTTATTTATTCTTTTATTATTGTATTGTATTACATTATAACTATTATCGAAATGATTAATTATTATTGTACAGGAGTGGTTTGGTTAGTTTTTTGTCTAGGGAGAAGTAATTTTTTTTTTCAAAAAGATTGTGAGCACAATAAAGCTAAAAATTGTATGTATTTTATTACAATACGTACTGTAAATTATAGAGGGAGGGAGAGCATAGCCACACTGTTATTGTATCACTTATAAACCTAGTGTTATAACACTAGTCATTAATTTGTAATAGAAACTGTTTATTAAGTTACCATTATACTTAGTATTTTTATTACTATTTTTAGATCCTAATTTTCAGTTGATTGTTTATCATGACAATTTTAATTATTTAATGAGATATAAATAATAATATAATATATTATTACAACAAACATATTATGCTTATTCGCTAGTTTAGCTTATTTACAATTCTTACTCATATAATATTATATAGAATCTTAAATGTTTTATTACAATTGTACATTATTGTTTGCATAAATTATGAACACTAGAATAATATAAAGTAATATGTATTTATGTATGTTAAAATATTAATAATACAAATTATGATTTATAACCAATATGTAAAAAATACATTGTAATATTGTTATTAAAATTTTAAAATTTTACTGTGTTCTGTGTACATTTGATGTAAAATCATTTTTGCCACCAGTTTTGGAAATCAACTTAACATGTTCGATTACTATATTCCTGTTAACTGCTTTACACATATCATATACTACTAATGCGGCTATGGTACACGCTGTTAAGGCTTCCATTTCAACTCCAGTACGATCTTGTGTTACTACACTTGAGGTCACTTTAACTGAAGAATTTGACTTTTTCAACTGGACGTCGACCGTTATGCCATCAAGCTTTAATTGATGGCACAAAGGTATAAGTTCCCAAGTCTTTTTAGCAGCGCATATTCCAGCTATCTGTGCTACTCCTAATACATCTCCTTTTTTTATGAGATTTTCATCAATTAGTTCTACTGTAGTCTCGTCCAATTTAATTATGGCTTCAGCTACGGCCGTACGACGAGTCACTAATTTATCAACAATATTAACCATACAAGCTTTACCAGATTTGGGATCGATATGTGTGAAACTGTGATTTTGTCTAATACTAATTATATTTCCATTTGTACTTTTTGGTATAGAATATAAATTTATACATTCACCAAATAAAGTTTTTCTTGTAATATTACTTTTTAAGAGATTACCTAAAAATAATAATTTCAATATATGAAATATGACGTTAAAAAAAATACTTGAACAATTTGTAGCTTTTGACAATTTAAAGATCAACAACATCACTATGTTGTAATAAAAAAATAATCAGTATAACTAGACAAAGTTGCCTTTGTGCGTTATAATTTCAAAGATATCATTTATTATTTTAAAAAATTGAATAATTAAAACGGCAAAATAAACTGACAAGTATAAATATTTAATTTTAAAAGTGTTGCAAATTAGTATAATTTGTAAAAATTTTGAAAAAGTGTCAATTTATTTTGTATGAGAATAATATATTAAGCCTTTTTTGCACCTTTTAATTTGTAAGACGGCGACGAATATAGGCAATTTAGCTACTCTTATGACTAGCATTCAGTTATTAGAGTATGATTAATAGGGTTCGGAAGTTAGTACACTTAGAATTTTTTTAAAACGTAAAATGGGCTAAATCAAACCTATTTCATAAGGGTAATAAATAAAATTCAAAATTTTTGTCATGTTTGTCAATATTTTCCATAAAGGTTTTTTTTTGGATCATATTTTATTCATAGTTAAATTGTTTTATTATTTTTCATTAAATATTTCAAAACGAGAATTTTGTTTTTATAAAAAAATTTTAAAGTATAAAAATTAATTCATTAATTATGAAGATATATTATTTATCTCTTATGGTGTCCGACAAAAAAACATTAATTAAAAATGCACAAGAACTTAGAAACAAAATTACACTAAAATTTAATATACATTATATTAATGCACAATTTTGTACTCTGGTTGATTTAATCAAAACTCATGATTTAGTACAAATTGTTACACATAAAAGCAAAAAAATTCAACAAGCAAACACTAAAATTGGACAAGAAAAAAAATTCAATTTTAGATAAAAATACGAAATCTTGCTCATTTAAAATTTTCTTAAATTATATTCCACAGCATATAAAGAATCTTTACGAAGTATGAAAATTTGTTGTCTGATAACATCGTTAATTTAATATAGAGAGTATTAAATACAATACACGTATTGTACAATGAAACAATTTTGATTGATTTTTAAGTTAAATTTTTATATTCTTTAGCTAATATGTGTAAAAGTTTTCGTCAAGATAGCAAACTATTTTATTGATCAATATTAATGTTGTTTTAAATGAAATTAAAGAATATACATGAGATTAAAAAGTAGTGAGTAGAAACGTATGCTTCGGCGCACGGGGTTTCGGGTTCGATCTCCAAGGTGCCAACGAGATTTTTTCATTGGTGGTGTCTAGTCTTTAGTGCAAGCCGACCATAATACCCGTCTCGTCCAACATTGGCTTAGCCTTGAACCATTTTCGACTTCCTAATTTAATATGAAAAATGGCCACCACCTTCTGCAGCATGTTAAGTTCGGCAAATAGAAAGATGTAAAACTGATTATATGTGGTTAAAAAGTTATTTTTTAAATTTTTCACAAGTCATTTTTCATTTATAACTATTTTTAGGTTATTATTTTCATTTTTTATGATATTTTTGTAATTTTTGAATCATTTTAAGGTTTTTTAAGTAAACTATATTCGAGCCCTAATGATTAATGTCATCTGTTAAGAGTCGAAAATTTTTACATCGAAAATATAACGAAAAGTAATATTTACACAAGGACTAATGTAAATACAAATTAAAAGTGCAATTTTCCTTTTATTAACGAAAACAAAATTATTCAATTTTAACAACATTAATTAATGCTAGAAAAACATGGGAACTCATTTGACAAAATTTTAGTTAAATCTAAAATTTGGTTATTTTGTACACCAACTGTTATTGTTGAATATGCTACAAAAACAAAACGTAAAAATATACTAAAATTTTTATAATTTTCTTCTTTCTATTAATTTTGTAACATTAATTATTCAAATTGTATTAAACGTTTTATTAAAAGCTCTTCATAAAAAAATTATAACTTTACATAAGTTTATAATTTTTAGGCAAAAATTGTCAATTACTTCTAATTTGAGCATTATAATACGAAAATATTATAGTATAAATATTTCATTCATTTTTGCTTTGTTCGTTCTATAATTTTCAATTTGTTACGTTAATTATTCCCGCAATTTTGATTATTGTAATTATGTGTTGTCTACAACAATAGATAATTGTTGTCGCCAGTGTTTCTTGTAAAGAATTTTTATCTAGTGAGCCGTTTGAAAAAATTGGGGAGTCATTTATATTACACGAAGCAAAATAAATGTTTTGATAATAATTATCTTTGTCGGTTAGTATGATTGTGACAATATAATAAAATACACAAAAGTTTATCATACACACATAAAAATAATGATCTATTGTTCTCTTCAAATTTCTTCATATAGTCAATAGTAAATGTCCTATACAAATTTAGTACATTTATCTATACGTCCTTACCTTTTTCCTTACCAAGTTATTCAATTAATTAAAACAAATACAAATTAAATAATTAATACTGTGTGGACTCTTATCTTGGAATTCAGTTATATCAAAATGGATTTTTTCTAATATTTAATATCTTTAATATTCTTTAAATTTTTCCGGGGGAACGCCTAAAAGAAACACTGGTTGGTTCTTATGCCATAGTCTAGTAAACAGCAATTATATCTGTAGTGGTTTATATAGAGTTTCTACAAAAAATCGCAACAAAGTCAATATTCAAACATCGGTTTGTTACTTTATTCTTTAATTATACTTGTTTTATATGATTAGAACTATTAAACTAAAACGTTTTTCTAGCTACGCTAATTTTTCAAGAAAATCCTTGTTTTTATTTCTTTTATTGTGTAAGGGAATCAAAATAATAATATGAAACTCGTGGGTTTCTTATTATCTAGCTGAATTGCAAAGAATCCTGCAAGACAAACTTTCTATACACAGTGTTAATATTTTTAAAAAATATTTAAGTAATTACTCTAAAATAAAATACAATTTAAATACTATTAACGATAAAGTATTTTAGTGGATAATTAAATACTTTTGAAAAGTAATTTTTTTTTAATAAAATATTAGTTTATTGCATTTTAAAACAATTATTTATAGAATATAAGATAAATATAGTACTGAAAAAGTACTTAAAAATTATGTTAAGAAAATAAATTAATAAAATGTATAAATGAGAATTAAATGATTAAATAAAATTAATTACTTTTACACAAACATTATTTAACACTGTTTCTACGTATCTAATTTTATCCTTAATGGTAGTAAAAACAAGTTTTTTTGAAATCGTAATAAAAAAAATTTTTAATTTAATATTATAGAATTTGGAAATACCTAAAATCATAAAAAAATTTGCATCGCACGCAATTACAGGAAAACAATTTGCTATATACAAAGCCATTTTGAAATAAACCATACGATTCATCGATAAACTTACAAATCTAGTAGCGAAAATTGCCCTTATTGGTCACTTACAAATGAGTTTGTTAAAATATCTATTTATATTTGTGAAATGACAGCTAAATAAAAAAGACATGTACTTTTATATTTTTCTCGATATCTCATTATACCATAATAAGTAAGTGAAATTAAATAATTTTGATGGACTGCAAAATGAAATATACAATACTTTAAATAATTGCAAAATATATTTAAATGAGCCTTAGGCAATGTAATTAATTACATAGTATTTATTTAGGCAGTATTATACGTTTCTATAATTTAGTTTCAGCATTATAATAATTAAACTTTTTTGAAAATAGTCTATTATGGATATTATTTTCTACCCATATTTCAGCTATGCGTAAAAATAGGTATATACAATATTATACTAATACTCATTCCGTCAGAAGCCCTACAAGAAGAGTAAATTTATTTATAGTATTGAAACTATACTATCATATTTATTGAAAATGTTAAATTTCAATGTTATGATAATTATTCTTAACATCCTCTCTAGCACCGGGTTCGGATTTAGTTGCGATAGACTACTCGGGACTGGTATAGTTCAGTGGAGCTGAATCGAATTTCGATAACCTACTTACTGAGGCTTCATGCGTTCCGGATTAAGTAATGTTAGCCATTAAAAATTAATTACGTTCCTCAAAAAATCTAGTTTTCAAAGCGTTTTAGTCTGATCCTATATTCCCTTACCATCATTATGATAATCTAAATGTTTATGTAATTTGAATGTGTAGTTAGTCCTTACCTATCCGCCAATTAAAACCATTGGACGATTTATCATTTTTGAAAGATTCTTCATTCCTATAAATATTAGAAATTCTAATTAGAACAAAGAGAATTCCATATAAAAGCTATGTTACATTTAGACTTTCAAAAATTAAGTTCTTAAATATAATAAAATTAACTATTCAGCTATAAAAAAAATAATAATTGAATATTGATTCAAACTAATTTGAGTTCCCCGAAATCAAATGAATAAAACTTATTTTGGATTAATTAGGAACATATTTGCAAATTGAAGGAGCCTTGAGATAGCTAAGGTTCCCTAATTCTGTCTCAGCTCCATTCCCAATCATTTTGTTCAAATTGTAACTATGATTAAGATTTTACCGGCATGTTTTCGTTTTTTCGCTTTTACTGCATTTGAAATGATATCAAGGAGTTCTTTTTCTGATGCTCCTTCGCGCAGGGGGTTTCTGAAAAATCATAAAAAATGTAGTGGTATTATTAATTTTATATTTGGCTAAGATTTGACTTGAATTTGCTATATTTTAAAAAGTTGCTAAATTTCAGCATATAAATGTCTTCTATGAAGTAGTTAATCAAATTCTCGAAAAAAAATAAAAAATTCGTTGGATTCTATTGTACAAGTAAAAATATGTTTATATTTCTATTCGATATAAAAAAACCTCTTAAGCCTTATAAATACGTCTTTTTATTGAATCGCTACACTAAAAAAATACCTTAAACTTATTTCGTTGTTTTGAAATAAGCAAGCTTTCAAGTTACCATCGGCCATTAGTCTCAATCGATTGCACCCATCGCAGTAATCATCTGTCATAGAAGTTATGAACCCAACTCGGCCCTTGAATTCCGGCACCTTGAACATCTGTACCGAAAATAAATAGAATGCATCGTAATTTTTTAATCCAATTCAATTGTGTACATACTTTAGAAGTGGCGTTCGTGTTGTTGTCCGCACACGGTTGAAAGTTTGGAAATTTTTTTGTTATTATCTCCACGGCTTCTTTGTAGGGAACTAATTGTTGTTCGTCCCACTTGTTCATCGCAAACGGCATGAACTCGATAAATCTATAGTCCACGTTAAGGTTTCTTGTGAATTCTACAAAATCGCACAGCTCGCTCAAGTTAAATTTTCGCATTAATACGCAATTCACCTGAAGGACGTTCAAAATAATCGCACACTTGTCAATACTTAAATTCATTTTTTCAGTTATCACAAAACATCACACTACATTAGGATGAATATCAATGGTTGTTATTGTAAAGTTTCATACATTAATCAAATATGTCTATTTATTAAAATCAAGTGTTCAGCGTCGTTTCTATTAGTACATTAATGAATGCTGAATCGGTTTCCGACATAAGTATATTCTACACACGATCAATGTGTTTTTATGTATGCAGAACAGAGCGGCAGTATCTGTATGGAGATAACCGACGAATGATTGACGTATGTTTGTGCGTATAGGAATATATTGAAACATGATTAGTGATTGTCTGATGAAAAGATATTAATATTCGCATATAATATACACCTAACGATAAGGACGGTGTTTTTTGATTATATTTAGTTACAAAAAATAAATAAATAATATTTTTAAATAATAAATACATGTATACCGTCAGATTATGTTTATTTTTCTATGTGATTGAATTTTAACATTTACAAACCTTGACAGGATTAAAACCAAGTTGCAAGGCCAAGTCGATGCCAACTAACACTCGTTTTAGTAAGCCTCCGTCTCGCCTAGTAATCTTTTCGTATTTTTGTGATTGTAATGTGTCCAGGCTTATATTCAGGGCATTTAAACCGGCTCTTTGTAAGTTTACTAAAGTTCTTGTTAGAGTCAATCCGTTTGTTGTCATCGCGATCGTTCGTAAACCATTTAGCTCTTTTAGAGATCCTAAGAATAAATGTCAATAATTCTGTTAGAAATACTTAATACATATATGTATTAAATATTTAAATATTACTTATTAATGATAATTAATAAGCAGTAACAAATACGTTACACATTTAATCATAAAAACCTTCTTTGATTATTCATACAACCTTTAAATGACAGAATCGAAACAAAAATAGATTTAAATTCAAAACTATACATATAGAGAAATTCGCTAAAATATTTTCAAAATTATTTTTTTATATAAAAATTAATATGAGTTTTAGAAATCTGTAAATATTTAGGAAGCCATTTAATATTATATTTTTGAAATCGTACATACACATACGGTTCCGATTTTATTATTTCCTAAAAACATAATAAAATATATATTTTTTTATTGAAATTACTATATAACAATATTAATATACGATAATAATATACTACACTATGTATAATGTTATATGTAAACAGACAATTCAAATAACATAAAGTAAATTATCAATTAATTGATAATTTTATAATATTAATAATTATTTATATCTTTATAAAACCCTATTAGAATCATGTAAAATTTCAAGTATTTTCGAAAACTCGAGAGTTTTAAATCAACCACTTGAAAATTAACATTAATTTTTTAATATATTATTTGAAGAAATCTATTTGATAGTTTTAAAGACTTGCAAAAATTAATTATTTTTTTTATATAATAACGTATAGGGTTCTTTAAAATTTTAATTAATGGGCCAATATATATATATATATATATTTACTATTCAATAAGTTAGATACTAAATTATTATTTAAAGAGCTTACAATAAAGTAACTTAATGTACAAATTTATATCAATTAAAACACAAAATAGTTTGTTAATAAAAACATAGAAAACATTAAAGATATAAATATTTAAAGATAATTTGGTATGGGTATTTTTTACTATTGAATGATCTGAACTGTTTAACTATGAAGAATAAAAAAATTCTAAGTTGACGAACGACAACTTACTGACAATGTCTACTATATCTTTCCTTACAGTTGGCTCGCCACCGGTTATCCGCACCTTATTAATCCCTTGTTTGACGAAAAGGCTCACCAGCTTTAACATTTCTTCATTAGTAAGCAAGTCGTTCTTTTTCGACAGTTTAGCTCCATCCACTGGCATACAATATTCACCTAAGTTTACGACAAAATTTTAGTTTTTTGGTAAGGTTTTTCCATTGTTAATTAAGACATGTTCTTTGAAAATAGCATAAGTTTATTCGCTTTTATTTAATCTGTCAAAATCATCGCTCACATCTTAAGTTACAACGTTCCGTCAGAGACACTCGAAGGTAATTGTGCTTTCTTCCAAACAAATCTGTAAGTATTTCATTAGGCTTCAGGTTCTGAAAAAAATTGTTTTAGCTATACAATAAAAAAAATAGTAATTGCTAAAATAAAAATTTTTAATTTTACTATTAATTAGCATATAAAAAAAATTAATTTTAAAATAAAACAGTTATTGTAATTGTATTACATTATAATGTAATATACTTTAAAATATTCTGTTCTGAATGATTAATTCTCAACTAATTGTTATCAAACACTATATAAGAAAAAATGTTTATAGAAAAAATGAAATTAACAATTTTATTTTGAATAAACTATATACTCGCATCTAAAAAGAGCTCTAGCATAACTGTTTCTTTTTATGTCAAAATCTATAAAAACAAAAAAAATATATAAAAACTTACACGAGTCGAAATGGTTCTAGCCTTCAAATAAAAGTTGTATTTAAATAATAAACGATAAATCATTTTTGTTCAATAGGAAACTCAACAACTAAAAAATCAGTTAATAGCTAGTAAAATTAAAAAAAAAAATTGCGTCCTACGATGTCCAAGTGTCTTACCATACTGCATTGTCACTACATTATACTAGGGTTGTAAATATACTTACGAAGGTAAAATAACACACAACATATTGTTATTATATACAAGTAATTTGACCCTGACGCTTATCTCATTGGAATACCAACCTACTTGATTTTTGTTTGAAATAATTTGATGAATATGTGTGTTAACTACAAACATACACAAGAACAGTTATTTTCATTCTCCGTATTAATTATTCACGTGATAGGCTTCATACGCTGCGAATGACAAAATTAATATTAAGTTATCATTTGCAATTTACTCAATATGACATTTTTGATTAAAGAGGATGATTTTATTATCTTAAACTTTTATAAAAAATATTTTTTATAAAATTGTTTGTTTGATAACGTTAAAAAGTTATAATTTAAAAGAAGTTGGCGCGAATAATCAGAATATATCTTTACTTTTATACTGTATACAAATATACTTGTAAATAATACTTAAAATTACTAACAAAACACTCTACTTAATACAAATATAAAACACAAACACTACTTAATTTCTGTGTGTTTATTCAAAATTCTTCAATCTAATCGAGTATAATACTAAGAACGTCAGCTATTGTCGCAAAATAAATCGCGACTCGTCTGTTTCTATTATAGATATTCGTAGAACTTTCCTAAAAAACAAACAGCGCTAATAAAAAAAAAAAATACTTGTGACATCATAATGTTTAGGATTGAAATTTCTCGTTGGAATACATCACATCATCTTCTCGGTTGTCTTCGACAGACATCAAATAGCAAATTAGTTTGATAAACGTTAGAAAAGTGATAAACTTGTCTTGAGAAAATGATTTCCTGGACAATAACGACACATTACAGTATTGTATTACTGATTCCGTTGGTTACTGTTTTCGTTTGTAGTGTAACCACAGAAATTGGTGTAACTGACGTTACACAGGGCCCCGAAAGGAAGGAAATCGTATTTAACGGCAAAATGGTTACTTTACCAAACACGTTGGTCGTGACAAATCGGGACGAACATCAAATGGCCGTCAAGAACAGAGACGTGAGACAGACCGTTGGAAGCGACATGAAGTGCTCATCAGTCTCTGAACAGATGTTAAACGGTCGGCCGACTTCAAGACCTTGTCCGTCTACGGTAGTACGGGTAGCTGCCTCAGGAGTAGGTAGCGAGGCCGCTGAAACTGTCCGGTCGTATCAACGTTACCGCGAAGAACCAGATAGGGAATATATACGTGAGAGACCTTATTTGTACAGAGAACAGCCTGTGGTCGTACGGGAAAAACCAGTCGTTTATAGAGAACAGCCGGTGGTAGTGCGTGAGAGACCGATTTGGTTTCGCGAAAGACAAGCAGCACCGTCGATGCTGTATGAAAAGCCAACTCCGTACGTTCAGCAGCGTAAAGGTTTAATGGTGAAACCACAACAGTACTTATATGGTGATGACATAGAGGACGATCGGATATTCAACTCCAGGGGATTACCTTTTCGATTCGTCTTGTCTTGTCATACTCAAAAAATTATGCCAAAAGAACAGGACGATATAGAAATGTTAACGATGAACGAAGTACGAGAGGTGCTGCACAGAGTCTTTTCTGAGGGAATTAAAGCTGGCGAAGCGGCAGCAGAAGTCAAAGATCCACCGCCTGTCATAATGAAAGGTAACTCGAAAATTAACTGTATGTTAAGTGATATAAAATATTAGCGAGTGTCAAAAATTATTATTTAAAATAAATAAAATAATAACAATTTGAATTAAACGTATTTTTAATTAAAGGAATCCATTAACAGTTAAAACTAGAAAGCAAAGGTTTAATCCACTAAATGTATCTCAGGGGTGTATTAGAAAATAATATAACTAGGACACTAAAAATAAATGTTCAAGCTGCTAGGAAAATTTTTTACTAAATGATTTTTACTAAATTCTTGAAGGTATAATAGGCTCTATGTCTTTTACTTATGGAAACCATCAAAATGTTATAGATTTGATGTTAGCCTCATACGGCTCAAAGCTATAACATTTTAAGGGCTAGAGCTTGACGCTTCGCTTCAATATTACTTAATAATGAATTATATCGTGAATTTTAACATTACTTTTATGTTTCTATAGCTTAAATACAAGTTTCAATAAATTCAAAACAATTTTCGGAATTTGCCCATCAACATACTTGCACCGTTGTCTGGATTATACTCTTCTATCAGCATAAAAAATTTATACATTTTAAATAGCCACTAATAATTATTATATAACAGGTATTTGTTAATTCAAAACATATGTAATTTGTATCTCAGTTGTACAACATTATTATATATGTATAAATATAATGATGATGTATATAATAATTTTAACTTCAATTCGTTTAGAATCAGTTGCGCAGTCAGGATTTATTAATGAGGCAGGGAATATATTTGAAATTATTTTCTAAATCAATGATTTAAAAAATATATAATATGACTAATGGAGGATATGGTTCTCGGGTCCTTTTACTAAGTAACTAGTTTTAAAATTAAACGTATGAGGTATTATAGTAACAATATTTTAATTCAATGAATTCTTCCGTTCATATAGAATTAACAAATAATGTGGAAAATGTTAATACGATTTATGAGCTAAAAAGTTCAAATACTATTCTTAAAATACTAATCTTTAAAAATATGTAATACTTATTAATTTAACAAAAACTTGTAATAGATACAATATTTACGACGTTTGAGAGTGTAATTGTCAATTCTCAACTTTACATATCTGAGAACAAACTTTGCAAGGAGCTTCTCTAACCGGTTAAAATTTTCTCTGAAAACATTTTTCATTGTGGGTAAAAAAATGTGTCAACCCCTTTTAAACTATACTCATAATGATATTGTTGCTATTATTTCAATGACAATATAAGAGTTCTATCTTAACAATCCTTTTTATTTTAATAAAAAAAATATTATTTTTCTAGGAATGTTAACATTGACATTAGTTGTTACATCACCCTTGTAATATCATCGCGCGAATACTATTACTATTTCATACTGCTTTATTTAATATTATTAAATAAATACTATAATTTGTTGATTTTTAAATGTTATATTTACAAATAAATCTTCAATGACATTCACACATTATTATTTCAAACGTACTAACACACAATTAAGTTGGTATACAAATAGAATAATTAATAATATATAATACTATGTAATATATATAAATTTATATATACACGCACACTAGTAAGTATACAAAACTAATAAATATATTATTATAAAAATAAATACTATGATCTTATAAATATTTATGTGTATTAGTCGTTGGATTGTAGTAAAATGTTAATGTGTAAACAATAATATATTAGTATAGTAATAGCAAAAAATAAAAATAAAAGTGAGACAAGTAATATAAATTATAAAACACAATAATAGTTAAGTAAAGTATCGAGTTATGTATAAAAAAATTAAAAATTAATAAACATCATCAGAAGAATAAAAGACTAAGATCACAAAAAAAAAAAATATTAACACATTTTTATTTATATACGAAACGTCTGTTCAGATAAAATAAATTATGTTCGTTCTTCGATAGTAATATTGATACCGTGTTCTGCACGTAATACGATCTCACCAACCAATCCTAAATCCTCTTCGCAGTCAAGAGATCTTATTTTGTAAGACTTCAATATGGTAGCGACAGCTATTTTCAATACAATTATAGCAAACCGTTGTCCTGAAAAGGTTGTAGGTATGATCTTAAGTGAGATTAAGTGTAGAATGAATTGGTAATTTTTGATGTGTTTATTACTTTACACGTGTCACTTACCTATACAATTTCTCGGACCAGCACTAAATGGTAGAAAAGCAAACGGATGCCTGTCGTGTTTATTATCCGCTAAAAATCTGTCTGGGTCGAATTCATCTGGATTGTCGAAATATATTTTACTCCTGTGTAAAGCGTATGTATTAATCATAACAGACGTGCCGGGCATTATGACGTGTTCACCTGCAAAATGAAAGAGGTTCATTAGACACCAATTATATAAAACATGAAAACCGGCATAATTTCTACAATGCTACAGTTATGGTTTATTATTATTGATTTTTTTTGTACAATTCTGTAGGACTAGATTTGTAATTTTAAATATGAGCTTAAGTATCATTTGGTCCGACTCGGGAACAGCATTTAGGAGCATGTCTAAAAATTGTGGTCCGATTGTCACATTAAGAAATTAGCAATAATTACCTATTGTTAAAGGTTCATAAATCTGTCGACCAATCAGTGGTACAGTTGGGTATAGTCGCATGACCTCCCTAATAGTCCTATCTAAGTATTCGAGACCAGACAATTCTCTGACAGTTGGTATTTCGTCAACGAAATTCGGTAGCTTTTCGTCAAGTTCAGCTAATATTTGATCTTGGGCTTCCGGGTGTTTTCCCAGTACATACATGGCCCACGATAATGTTGTCGAAGAAGTATCAACACCCTACGCAATAGATAAGAAAAATTAAAATATTTTTTATACAAAAATAAAACGATAATGTCTCTAAACTAATTACAACAACATTTTTGAAAGTCAATTCATTCAACAAATAATCATTCTTTTTACAATTAATATTTATATAGTTTTTTCTTCAAATTAAATCAAAGTACTTACCGCAAACATAAAAGTATCAACTTCTTCTTGGATGTCTTCGTCGCTTAAAATATTACCGTTATCTGACACATCAATCATCAGATCTAAAAGAGCCTTCGATCTTTTACCTATTACAAACACATATAACCGTTTATCAAATAATTAAGTTAGTTTTAAAATCTAAAAGGAATCAGAGTACATTGTACGTACCCCACTTTTCTCGTTTACTAACCGTAAATCTCGTTTTTATTTGCATCAGAAACAGTCGCGTTTGATTTCAAATTATTTTTTCTATCACTTATCACCTGAAAAATAAAATGTTTAATCAATCACTATGTACCATACGCTTTGAGCTAAGTTTTTAATCATACAAACCCAAACCAAAATTCAACAAACCTTCTTAGTAAACGAATGTATTATGTTTATACAATGTTTCTGTCTTTTGCCGAGTCGTGTCATGTTGAAAATTATATTAGGCTTTAACCAAGGAGTTATGAATCGTTTTTGCATAATGGCAGTCAGTCTGAAAACATACATATTTATAAATAAGACTAAGTGTAGAAAAAATTCATTGTTTTTCATTATACTGTAAGATATTAGATACTATTTAGTTTTTTCTGCATAATTGACAAACAAGATTTATTACTTAGACTGGTATTGACCTTCTATTTTCGTCAATAAATATTAATTTTCTCCTAATAGTATGAAGAACCTATTGATACTTAAATAATAAAAACATACGAGTATGTGTTTAGCGTTGATAATGGTAACATCGTTGATGAAATATGTATCCACAATTATTATTATTAAATAATCGTGGCATTCTGGGTTTAATATTTTCATAAAAGTTAGTTTTAAATGAATATTTTAAGTATAATTTTAAATAATAGTAGCCACAAGTGATCAATTCTTATTATATTAATCTATTTTTTAAATAAAATTCATCATTAACTGCATTATTATAAAAAATTAAAGTAAAATTTTAATTATATTTTTAAGAAATTTAATTTTCTACGTAAGTCAATATTTTGTACTTACTCGTCAATAGCTTTGACGTATTCGCAATCAGAATTTATTTGAGAATTGATCTCGCAACCCATCGCAGTATTACCTATTATATCCAAGGCGACCATTTTTGCATAAGGTGTCATGTCAAAACCGGAATCTCTGGATAGCTCTTTTTGTAGTTTAAGAACTAATATTTTACTCTGTCGCACAATAGGTGGTAAGAACTCTTCAAGGATGTTGAAGTGAAACGTAGGTGTCAACAGCTTTCTTCTTACGTGCCATTTCGATCCTGTAAAACATGTGTAATTTGTAATTAAGAAATAAATATTAAATGACTTATCATCTATTATTGTTATATTCAGATCGATTGGTTTTAACTCCTTAAGTGTTGTTCGTTGAGATTCGATAATAATTAAACGATATTTTTAGGAACCTTGACAACTTGAAAAAAAATAACGGATCAGTTTCTACTATTTCGCCGATGAATGTTGAGCTAGTATAATTATTCGTTATATTAGCTTAATAATCATTATTAACTATTTAGTAATTGAGATGATTATAACTTAAAATAAATTGGGTTTCCAATAATGAATACGTTAACACGTATAAAGTATAGTCATAATTAAACACAGTAGATACAGAAACACAAATAGACGAAACGTCAATAGTTTTGTACATGGATTTGATTTAGATCTATTTTTATTATCATCTAAAAGAATCGTCTTGAAATTGCACGAGTCAATTATATAACTATTATGATATATCATCAACTATTGTATTAATTTTTCTTTTTTTGACGGTTCTTTATCATCAATTAGTAAACATTAGACTTATGCAATTAGTCTAATGAACAAATATAAACAGTTTACTTCTATTATTTTAAGTTTTTTTCAATGAATAAACCCGATTAAAATATGCAAGCAAACAAAGTATGTAACAATTAATTAGTTTCAAATTTTTATATCCCATTAAGTCTAGACTATTTAAAAAAAAAATTGTTGAATCAATTTAAAAATATTAATTTCAGAAATTAATATTTTTCGAGCCTCAATAAGTGTTTACTAAAAACGTGACAGTATAAAAATATAAATTTTTTAAAAATCTGGTTTTAAAAAATTCAAATATTGAAGTTCTGCTATTTTCTAACAGGTAAATGTTACAAAATGGCTGATAAAATATAGTGATTAAAAATGTTAATAAAAAAACTCGATTTTTACAAAATTTTAGATTATCATTGATGTATGCAAATTTATTTTATTCAATATACGACACCAGTAAAAAATTCAATAATCAATAATTGATAGCGGAAAACAATTATTCGTTATTTCTAATACATGATAAAGTTTAAAATTAAGGTAGGGTTTAGTTTATTTTTAACTAACAGATATTTAAAAAAAATTTTGGCTGATGAGTTGCCAAAAATTATTCTTAAAAACTGTATCAAATTACCTCGTATGCTGTGTTGCAAAAATTGAGTGTACACGGGATGCGGGACTATACACACATAATTGGCAGAAATCAATTTTTTTAAAAATTATAATTAGGGGGAAGTTTAGGGGTACTATCTGCACTAGCTTCCAGTTTAGTAGTTATGGTACTGCTTATGGGTTAATAATTATTGATGTTTACGACATTCAGTTGTTATGTTTAATTTTTGTTGCTATTACAATTTTAATGAGTGCATAAAAATTGATGGTGTATGTGCATAATAAATTATACATTGCATTGTTGCACGAAAGTCTCGACCTCTATTTGCACCGCCCCCAACTCACAATTACAATGTCTAGACGTGCAATATAAGTGCACATCTAGTGGAAATATTCAAGGATTCTGTCAATCATTTGACTTATGATTTTACTATATACATGCATGCAAGCTAGTCATGCACTTAATTGCATCTGTCAACATGTTTATTACTGTACACGTGTGAAATATATTTGGCAAAAATACATGTAGATCAAAAAATGAACTTGTAGTCATTTTTTAAAATTACCAAAGGTTAAAATAAAAAATGTTTTTATTCTGAATACATTCATGTTTGAATTATGACGTTCGATAAAATTTCTGTAAATTATAGACGTTTGTTTTTGTTGTAAATTAATTTAGTGGCAATCATTCTGTTACTTAAATTAATTTTAAAAAAAATCCTTTTGACGACTAAATATTGCCCTATGTTTTTTAGCTTCGCTGCAAAGCTGAGAAGTTATTAATTTTACTATGATGTAATTTTTTTTTAATGTCTGTCGTCATTTTTTATCAGTTCTCACCGTAACATAGCTTTCAAAAACATATCACAAATCGTATCTAGTTGAAGAAATTTCACTTAATAATTGAAAAAATTTCCCTCGCTCTCTGTAAATGTAGGATATCCCAATAAAATCAGAAAAATTCAACATTTTTTTCTTTTTCAAACAATCGTAACTTTTTGAAAAATGAACGAATAAAAATACATTTTTTAAATTATAAATATCTTAGGTATTTCCCTTTTATGTAGTATAAATTTTTGAAAATCCGATTATTAACCAACCCACAAGAGGGAAATTCAATATAGCAACTTTTTTTATAAAAGTCAATTTTTTCAACTAAACTTTTGAAAATATTCCAAAAATACTCCGTCTTATATATATATATATATATATTATATTAAAATTTATGTCACGTACTATAAGTTAAAAACAAAAATTTGTCCCAAAAACCTATTTTCTATATGCAAATCGTCGTCAAAATTAAAAAAATTGATTAAATATTTATTCATAAATTACACTTATATATCATAAAACGTGTAACCAGGATATAAATAAGAAAATCGGAATTCATTTTGCTTGCGGAATAATAAAATAATTTCTTAAAACCAAACACTATCTACAGATTTCGAAGGGTTTCTTATAATAGTGATTTTAATCACTGTCAAATATCATCTATACTTGTCCCAACTATAGAAAAATATATTTTGGTCTCTGATGAAAATTCCTTGTGGAACCGAAAATTTATTCTTGAGTAACAAACAATTTTTTTTGAAAAGTATTGCATTAAGCACTTCAATTTTTATAAACTTTTGTCATAAAAGGAACGACTACTTTATAATTTTTCATAATTTCTGATAATTATAAATTATAAAACTTGTAATCAGAATATAATTAAGAAAATAGTAATTGATGATACTGTTTTAATAATCTAGCAATTTTTTAAAATTATACACTTTTTACAGATTTCTATCAAAGCGTTTATTGATTTTATTCACTATCAGATATCATAATACTTGTTCCAACTATACCACGTCTACACTTTACTGCTACACCACTGTGATACCATTTTTAATTTTTTTTCTTTTTGTAGTTTTTTTTTTTTTTTTAATAATCCAATAATGTAGTTAAATTAAAAGACATGAGAAATTGAAAAGAAATTACCTTTTGAATACCTGTTTTACAAATGACAAATAAGATAAAAGTAACTTCTATTGAATAGAGGATTTATTTATCATATTCTCAGTTAATTACTAAACTAATGGCCTTCGTATACAAAAACAATGTTCAACTTCATCTTATATGAAACCTTATTAAATATAATATTAAACTAGATTAAATTTAATAAGGTTTATTATACAGCACAAAAAATTTAAATTATCATATGTTACTTCCTCAAAATGATTGAAAAACTTTTTTTTTTTTTTTTAATTAAATTATGGAACAACTATTACAAAAGAATAATGAACCCATTTCATTTATTTAGACTATGAGTATAATTTTAAACCATAAATAAAAATCAACATTATTCTTATCAGAGAATAATATTTTGGTTGCGTCTAAATCGAATAAAAAATATTTCATGTTTAATGGATGCCCCAATTTATATGATGAACACGTGTAGCTACGCTTTGTTTGAAATAAATATTTGCCAATTGACTATCAATAATGTATAGTTAGTATATCATACATTTTCATCAAAATAGTTCAATAACTGTTGCAAATTCATTCTACTCGTTTGTTAGTCAAAAAATTCGTGCAACGATTCTTAAAACTCATAGGTTAATCTATTACTATAATAATGTCAAAAAATATGTCAATATGTGTATGCGAATAAATGCTATGACAGAAAACCATAGCACACCTTTGTCATGTATATTGTTAAATTTTTGTTTGCCACGTGGATGGTGTTTTTGTTGTTTTTTGTCTTGTGCTTTTACAAATAACTTAATCATTCTAAAGATCAAATTGGCTATATGAAGCAATGGATTAAATGTACCAAAAATGATTACGTAGTAAAAACGATAATAACATATTCTACATTACTTATTGCTTCAAAATGACGCGCACATTGCCTAAATTGTATTCTTTGCTTATTTTGTACTGTAAATAAATTAAGAGATTCTTTATCTCGACCTGAATCATGAAAACAACGGGTGAAAAAAATGCTTTGCACTATATTTTTGTATAAAAAATGTTCATCTAATAACAAAATTAAAAAAAAAAACTGTAAAAAAACCACATTAGCACAGTAGAGTCACAGCATGGGGAGGTTGGAACAAAGTTAGGACACGTATAAATGAAATCTGACAGTGATTTTTACTATCATAAAAGACACTCTTACGCGTATTTGTTAAATTATATGAATGTAATTTAACAAATTTCATGTTTGAATTTTGACTCAAATAATAAATATTTGTTAAATTAATTTTTTTTTTTTAATTTTTTTATCATAATAGAACTATTGTTCTTCAATTTTTTTTATTTTTATAACACATTTCAAGAGCTTTAATTTAATATTAGTACAATAAAGGAAAAGTTTTGAAACTTTTTCAACAATTGAGTTTAAAAAAACGATGTTTGCATGCACAGGTAATTTTTAAAAACCCTTTCTATACTCATTTTCATTAGATTTTCATAATTTTTTGACTTTAATAAAAATTTGAAATAAATCTTAAAAAATAGTTAAAAACTGATCATGCGTCAATAGCGTATTCGAAGAAGAAAATGTGTGAAGTTCACATTCCTTAATTAATCATCGTATTACTCATTTAATATGCATTCCTGTAACTATGTTTAAAAATAATTATAAAACTACAAATGGCAACAAACAAAAGAGGAAGCAGATAAGATAATAAAAACGTGTTTAATAAATTCAACTGCATACAATTGTATGAATATTGTAACTATACATAAAATAATTAGCTGTTTTGCACACTATCTCGACGGTCGATGACATCTATTAATTTAAATATCCAATAAACATCAATATTGATAGATGATTTAATAATAATAATATTATTATTACAGAGTTACTGGCGCTATTAGAAATGACAATGTTATCGGTAAGATGTACAATGAATTTGCCAAATAGTAATACAACCGACCCGAGAGTGTACATAAAAGTATTATGATCTGCTAAAATACACGAAGATGATCTCTCGCAGGTTTTTTCACAAGCTCATCTATGAGTCTGTTTCTTTTGTTTGGTCGAAACAAACTCATATTACTATATTGTCGATCAATGTACACACTACTTCTCTAGGAGATTATAATCTTATAACAACGGTATTATTTTACAAACGGACAATGAGCCTAAACACTTTAGTCTATATAATACTAAAAAAAAAAAAATAATCTAACACCAAGGCTTTCGGGAAGTAAATTTTGTATGACTACGTACGCGATACTATCGTCTATATTATTAATCGTATGCAATTTTTTTTAAAACTGAAACAGCATCATAATATTTTTAGTATATATATATATATATATTTTTTTTTTTTGAATAAGGTACCCTTGAAAATAAATTATGATAATTATTGTTATTATTGATAACGTCTAAGGGGAATGACCGCGGAACGTATTAGCAAAATGTTGACAGAATTTTAACACAACTATCTTATATTTCGGTGAACATTACCATTAATGCAACAAGAACAAAATTTTTAGGGGTGCTAAATTAATGATTCTCTCAAATTTTTTTTTATTTAATAATGATATAGTAATAATATGGAAACTCCCACGATTTCAAAGCCCCGATAGTTTCAATCAAAAATAATCAGAATAAAATACTTAAGGTGGTAATAATAAATATATAAAAAAAAAATGAATGAAATTAAAACCTAAAATATTATTATTAATTACACGTGTATAATAATAATTATAATAATTATTATTATATCGAAAGAAATTAAGTATTAAAACACGTTATTAACCAATATTATGTCCATAAACAGCGTTCAACGTTCAAATTTGACAGCACGTGTAGTAATTAAAAATAAATAATTTTTGTTTAAAATATACAAATACACATTTATGTTTATATTATGAAATATTTACCTGCACTAGTGACCAGTCCGGTGCCGATAAACGGATGTAACAGGTCATATTCCAGGTTTTTGTGTATATGTAACGATGAACTGAGGATTTGCTGAAAATAATCAATAATTATGTAAGCATTGAAAATTAATAGTTTATACAATATAATCATAATCAACCCTTAGCTAAAAGTATATTTTCATCGCCATGTATACGTAAGCCACGTGCATGTAATAGTGCAATGAACGTCAGTTCATAGGTAGTTTATATTGATAAATATGTGTTCAATTTATGATATAACAAGGCCGTTTACAAACTAAAAATACCGTGAACTGTGCAACAAAAATTTGCAAAGATTATAATTGTTATTCTATGATTAAAACGCTAACACAAAGAAATGTTTCAAATTCTACACAGTAAAATATATGAGAACGATATCATTTTTTTAGCATTAAATAATACACTAAATTATTTATCATTCATAATATAATTTAGTTTTAAACCAAATCAATTTAAATCGAAATTCAAATCAACATGTTACTAAAATTTTAGCTAATAATGTTATAACCTTATTATTAGTTGAATACGACATAATTATTTTACTTTATGATACAATAATAAGGGTTAACTAAAAAAAAATATATCATAACTAATATTTTGATGTAAATATCAACTCGATAAAAAAATCATTATGCATAAAAACTTTAGAGCTTGTTGATATACGTTTATTAAGATGAAATAAAAAATAATTTTAATTAATTAAAAAAAAAACGTTGAAAATACTCACCAGAATATGATCTGCGTCTGAAATGGAAAGAAACGGTCGCAGGCCAATCCATAATTGGTAAGTTGGACCATACTTCAAATGCCATTCCCTCAATAACCTGAAAAAGTCTTAAAATAGAAGAGAAATAATTACTTACTAATAAATATTGTGTTCGCTTTATTAAGATTACTTTTACGATATTTTTGTTTTATATACAAGTATTAAAGAATAATTAAGAAATCTCATATTATAACATCTTAATTCTTTAATTATCAAAGTTTTAAGTAAAATTTTTATATTAACACAACTGTGGTTTGGGATAGTTTTTGAAAGCGTATAAAGACGAATATGCAAATTTTATATGGATATTTTTTTTGTCTTTTAATTAAAACATTTTTGATATATTACATGAAGTCATAATTTTAAATATATATCGTTCAGTAATTAGTCGAGTCCCATAAATAACAGTTGATATATTATGGTGAAAATATAATTTTTTCATCTTAAGGGAATGAATAATAATTTTTTATGTTTATTTCCTCATGGAAAAAATATAAATTACGTCACTGAATCAAAATATACTTCCTGTATATTTTCACACTACTGTTTAAGTACCACGATAGATCTAAACGTTAGCTAATATTATAAAGAACAATAACTTTAAAAAATGAGTGAATTTCATTGATAGCACTGAACTTCATTCATTAAATTAAACAAATAAACTAAAGCTTATTTTTTACTAATACAATAGGTTGTTAATCTAAACTGTTTTAGTTTAGTGTCACCATTGTTTTTTCACAATATGATAACGTTAAAAAATCAAACAAAATTCATTGATGATTTTCTGGGTAATTTTTTTTTCATCGCATTTGGTGTAATATGTATTTCGAAACGAAATGAAAAAAAAATCAAATAATCACGTTGAAGGTTAATCAATTCCTGTAGCTTTTACAATAGTCAACTACATCGTTTCCCATGAGTAATTTGGTGAATCTAATGTGTTAACATGATTGCACAGTATTTCTATAACACATGAATACACTCCTCTCATTAAAAATGCTAAACCCTTTACATAAAATACAATTATTATTATTTATTTGTTCAACCCCAATGAAAATACTACACGTTAAGATTCAAACAAGGACGTTTAATCTTAGATATAGATATAATTTGCCCCTCGAATTACAAAATAGTATTAATAAAAATGTGTATTCTTGGAAGAAATAGCATTCAATCTTTTTACCATACTAAGTGGTAGACAAAAAAATAACACCCACGACGTCATACTAAGGAAACCGGTTTGTTGCCTAGGAAAATTATTAAGATTCACGGTCAGGTGTTTAGGGCGATAACGTCGTGGAAATTGTTTTGTGCTCTTAGAAGGGTTACTTTACACTTTTAGACTGATCAAAAAGGGAAGCTGGGAGACCGGCAGTGTTGTCAACAAATGACGTCTGGATCACATAACACATGTGTAATACAATACACATATTAACTGAACAAAATATTTCATTATAGTTTTCCTTAATCACCTGGGTATATAAGCTTAAACATAGATTTATGTTCATTTATCAAAACAGTCAGTATCTGTAAGGACAATCTGACAAACATTACATAAGTATAATATCAATAGGTTTAATATTGTGTATTTAAAATAACCACGTGAATTACAAAAAAAAATCTAAAATAATTCAAAACTCAAGTAAACTACTTTATTTTATTTAATACAATTATACAGACAAATCTATAAATGTGCTGAATTTCTAGTTTAGGAAATTACTTTTATTTAACAAAAAATCAAAAGTAAGATATCGTTCTGTTATCAATGCAGTTCTAAACATTTCATTAAATAAAATTGATAATATGTGGTATTGTATTGATAACAAGAACAATATAATAATATGTAGAAAATTATTGTAAAATTAATGTTTGAATATCAGTCACTAATTACACCGGTGATCGCAAATAATAACTAAAGTTCAGACGAATGGACACAAAAGGGATATAAGGTAATCTTAACTTATACATAGAAATTTAAGAATCCCAAATAATAAAAATATGTAAATATGAAAATACAGTAAACAAATTTTTTTTTTTTGCAAAATTATTTCAAAAATATTTTTTTTTAAATAAGTCAATGAGATTAGCAAAATTAGCATATGTATTAGTATTTGCGGTTTAAAAGCAATGCAATGGCCGTGACATTGAGAGTGCATAAAAAGTATAATAACGTACGGAGGGCGTGACCATTTTTTTCCCATTCACTTTTTAACAGTATCCGACTGATGAGAGTGCGGATAACGTAATATACACGCCTGTTACTAGTGACATTATTTTTCTTTCATTAGCATACAGAAGCCGATAGCCAAAAACGTGATGGTATAAAAAAATATATAAAAAAAAAAAATTCGGCAAATTGTCGAATAACGGTATGGCGGTATAACAGGTATGTCAGACAGTCTAGACTATTTGAATTATATATAATTTTTTTTTAATTTCGCACATGTCCACGTTAAGGCGCTGATATACATCTAAATGACGTTTTACTGTTCCTACACCCAGTGACCCACTTGTGAGTACAATATACTACGGGTCGATCTACAATTACCTGTTGAGGGAGCTTGATATTCATGATAACCGAAGACCACCAATTATACAAATGCAACTAATTGGGTAATGTAATAGCATTAAATAATCAACACTAAAAAGATACATAATGATAATACTCAAAAGTGACAAAATGACGCGCGTAGACAACATCCGATATTTTTATTTTTTGACATATTTGTATAATTTATGTGACACATAAATTAGATTCATGTACACATGCGAAAATTATCATAATATCATAAATTATCATATGATTTCAATATACCTTAAAAGTATTTTATGTATAATTATTATTATATATTATTATGAAATTATACTCCTTAGCTATAATCCATACGTTGAAAATTATTTTTAGATCTAGTTAAATTTTTTATAGGTGTTGATAAACCAACTTATAATAAAAAATTTTAATGATAATAGTGTACAATTTTTATATTAGTAGAAGAAATAAAGTAAATGTGTTGAATTCGACAAATTTTTGCTTTTTTCAATTCAATGTATGCTTCAGATTTTCCAACTAAATTCAACATTACCACAGAAACAATTAAAACAAAAATATTATGAGTGCTAAATTAATTATCCCCCAAATGTTTTTTATTCAGAAATACGTAAGATTCACTAAATTTTTGAATAACTAATTATTTGTTTTAGGTGGTTAAGATCAAGGAGTCAAAAGATAGTACACTATCTTTTTCAAAATGAAACTATTAATATTTAAAATATTTATATACAAATTTAAAAACGTTATAAAAATAAAGGCAAATAGAATAGAATTTCTTTTATTTCGTGATCAAAATTAAAAGTTTAATGAGTTAAAAAGAGTTATATATATTGAACTATATGCTAAAAACAAAGACATTTGGGTTTTTTTTTAATTTGTATCATTTCAGAAAATTGTGTTTGAATTTTATACATACAATTAAAATTTCATTCAGGTATGTTAGAATATATGATTTCATGAGATAAGATTTGAAAGCTTAATGTTAATGTACTTTATAAGTTTCTTTATTGAAATAGGACCCAGAGATCACTTAAAAATTAAGCTATTTCTGGTGTGGAGATCCAACATAATGAATAAGCACAAAAATGCCGACCTAGTCGAAAACCATCGCTAAAAAAATTAATGCAATTCTGTATAGATTTTTTATTTTATTACAAAATCAATTAGTGGAATAACTGCTCTACATCTATAACAGAATATGCTGACATGAAATTCTCATAAAATACAATACTCTACTATTTAAACGTGTGTTTATGGCCAATAGTATAATTAATTTGAATTTTATGTAAATAACAATTTTTCTGCTACCTGAAATATTGAAAATTGACCACATCCATCTAAAATTGCTCCTAAAATTATGAATCTTGAAGTCACTATACAAGGTGACATTTAGTCACTCAATTTATCTTAAAATAATAACTTTTTTGTAAATTTTTTTTTTTTAATTTTGTTTGTTACTTATTTAATAGTTTTCTCTTTTATTTATATATTATAAAATATTTTTTTATGTTAATTCCTTATGTCCTGGGGGTCAACTTAATTTTTATTTTTTGGAAATATATTTAACTAGTTTGTAAAATAGAAAATTATTTATTTAAGGAAATGACTGGTCAACAACAACTTTTGGACCAGTATTTCAGAAGTTTTTTATTGGCCTAGGCCAGATAAGGAATGAGGCTAAGAAATGTCTAATGATAAAAATAGCAGCACCTCCAGTTATTACTTTATATTGTTATAACTTTTCAAATATACATGTTCGCATTAAAAAATTAAAGTTGAAACCCATGACATAAAGAATGAATATAAAAAATATTTTATAACAGATACATGAAAATACATATGTAACTAATAAAAGTCGAAAAAAAAATTCACAAAAAAGTTAATATTTTAAGAAAAATTGAGTGGATAACGTTAAAAGAACAACTTGAATGACACTTATAAATAATAATCAGTGGTATATTCGTAAAGAAAACTTTTTTTTTTTTTTAGAATATACGCGAATTTGTGAGATAGTACCATTCAAATAAATAGTAATAACAGTTTATCATATCTACTCAATTACTTACAAAATAAAAATAACTTTAGATATATATTTTTTGTCTTTTAATTTACACATATTTCTTATAAAAATTATTTACATTTTTATATCTAGGCGTGAGGAGTACAATGGAAATTGTCAAATGATAATAATAGTCAATTCTCGCTTCATCTCCAATTTGAATTTTAGATTGCTAATATTTCCAAAAAATATATGTAACTATAAAAGTCAAAAAATATATTTGCAAAATTATTTTCATTTTAAAAGTAATCGAAAGAATTATGATAGACGGATCACTCTGTATATCGAGAAAATTCATTTATTTTCACTGTTGATTCCATTAATATTATTTGAGCGGAAATTCCCAGAAATTTTAAAGCAAATGAAAAAATAATAAGTTAAAAAAGTACAGATATAATTCACAATTAATTTAAAAATATTATTAGAAGTCCTAGCTGAGGGGAAAAAATAGTTTAATT